AATAACATGGGAATTTTAAATTACACTATTTTCGAATTTTTTCCATGATCGTTAGGCATAAAACAGCGCTTCAATATACTAAATTATTTCTTTTTTTAAGCTCAACAAAACGGTTTCAAAAGAAATTGAAAATTTTTTTTGTTTTTAGAGTCAAAAATGGGAAAACCCATTTTTCAATATTTATTTATTGCTCTTTAAAATTTTTACATTGTGTAGCATTTTTACATTGTGTGATTCTAATATTTATAATTACATAGAGGTTATTTTATAAAATTACACTTTAAATTAAATTTAACTTTAAACAAATAAATCAATACATTTAAGAAATAGAGGAAAACTAAAAAGCATTATACATTTATCAAGAAAACCTTACAATATTTAACTCATAACCCCTGGGGAATATAATACTGTGGCCCTTAACTCCAACAGTGTGCAGTGAACTCATCAACCGAATAGAATGCCTGATTTTTCAAGTCACGCTTCAGTTTCGTTTTGAATAGAAGGGAACTTTCCAGACTTTTAAGCCTTTCAGGAAGTTAATGAGCCTGACACCTACTTGAGAAGGAAGTTTCTCAAATGCAGCTGTTCGGTGTTGGACAGTGCGAAAACTTTCCCTTGCTCTAGTCCCGTGGCTGTGCACAGCAGTGCCTTGGATAGGCACATGTTGAAACCGGCAGTATACAGCCGTTTCCAAAATATACAGGGAAGGTAGGGTCAAAATTCCAAGCTCCCTGAAAACTTGTCTACACGACTCTCTCCGCCTAAGATTTGCAATTAATCTGATGGCTCTTTTTTGAAGCTTAAATGCCCTGTTAAAATTTCGTCTGGCACATCCCCCCCCCCCCACAATCTTAATCCGTAGGAAAGATGGGGATGAATGAGGCCATAATAGGCCATGACCAAAACTTGTGTTGAACATAAAGGCTTGAGATTACGCAAGGCAAAAACCCCTTTTGCAATTTTTGGACAGATGCTATCTACATGATCTTGCCAGTTCAGCACTCTATCCAAGTGCATCCCTAAGAACTTTGTGGAATCAACCTCTTTCAGGCAGGTTTCATCCATCATTACAGTTGGCATTGTCTCGTCGTCACGGCGACGAAGGGTAAAATTTATCTACGTCGGTTTTGACTGATTTGTGTTTAAATTTTCGGACTGAAACTTTTGGATGCATGCGTTCAAATTGATAAAACTTTCAATTTGAAGAGTTTCTTGGGATTCTGATTGAAAATAGAGAGTCGTGTCATCTGCATATTGAATGAATTTTCCGCCGACCATAGAGGAGCGGAGGTCATTAACATAAATTAAGAACAAAACTGGACCAAGGATATTGAACCCTGTGGGACCCCTTGACAGACCCTTAAGGTCTTTGATCTGCAAGTTGACACCTGTACGTACTGGGTCCTACCCTCGAGGTAAGATCTAAGCCACATAAGTGGGACCCCACGGATGCCGCAGAGCTCCAGTTTCCTTAACAGCATAGTATGTCGTGATCAACACAATCAAACGCCTTTGAAAGATCGATGAAGACACCAAGTGTCTTTTTCCCCTAGTCCTTCAATGATAGTCCTTTTTTACCCCATAAAACCCCCGTTCACATGTTCCGATTATATTGGTTCGCGAACTCGTTTGAATAAACGTAGGTTTACAGTTTACACATTTGTACAAAATTTCATCAAAATCTGATCATTTTTGTTCGAGTTATCGCGCTAACGGACACACACATATATATATATATATTAATTATATGAATATTAATTAAATATATGAATTTGAACGGATGGTGTTTTTGGTGTCTAGGGACCTCAAAACGAAAAATTATATCGGTCCCGGGTCCAGGTCTTACCATGAGTACTACGGTAATAGCTTATTCCCTATATATGGGAAATTCGCTAAAAAAATATAAACTTTCTTCGATAATGTGCGTTTTTCTTTAAACATCCTCGTTCAGTGGTTGGTTTAGAAGTCCTTTTAAAAACCCTTTACTGTACAAATATTTTACATTTGTCCCTGGCACATTGTTTTTTTTTAATGTTTTACACTTAAATTTGGTTTTGGCTTCTTTTTGTCCAAGGCAGACGGTCCACCGCGCCTTTGCACTGGGAGGCTAGATCAGTGGACTCTGGTTGGACATTTCCATCCAATTGGTTTACAGATCTTAAGTTTTTTTGGCAAACTTTCGATACTACCAAAATTATAAATAAAAATGTTAGAAAGTTATTAATACTAATTATGGTAACAAAACAGACACTATAATAGCGCAAGGGGTTACACTAGACCCCCTAATGAACACAGCACTGGTAACACAAGCATGGGGGGGGGGGTATGCCAGACCCAGGGTGGTGATAACAGGTCAAGACTAACAACCCTGCGGCCAGACGATAGCATATGCTATTTTAGGCAGCTACTGTTATGCTCACCAGGGTTGCCATCATACTCGTAAAATTATTAAAAAGTATACCTGCGCAAAAGCCCATTTATACAGTATTAGGCGTTGTTTATGAGTTAGTAATGACTTGTTTTATATGGCGTGTTGGTCTGCTACAAATACAGTTTTACTATGTTTTTATGTCAATAAACACGTTCCTTTATGAATCTGGCCTTTTTGCTGTTCTGACCATGCTCCCAGTCCCGTAGGTGGCGGATCAGCCAGGTTCTACTGTACTAAAAATAGGCTTGGTTACATAAAGGGAGTTAGCTAATTACTATCACCAAATCTCCAGTTCGAGTGTTCTCGTTCTTCGTGACGTTCCAATCCAGAGTGCTGAAAAAACCCTACTGGACTGAGGTTGTTTTAGGACTTAGTCCTCTTCAGCCAGGGAAGGGATAGCAGCAGCAGCAGAGACGTGTAAATAACGAGAGAGTGTGTAATAACGAAGCGCTATTCTGCCACTACCGGTACTGCCGGTTGTGGTTGGGTTGAGTGGTATTTGTTTTATTGAGGATAGTTCTACGGTTGGATTGTGGTTGTCGGAAAGGGAGGTTTGGTTTTGGTTGGGTCGGGTTTTGCGGGTTTACGTATTATCATGAGTTGTGGGGGGGGGGGGGTTCACTGAATTTTTGTTAATACAATACCATATACAAAATCATTAACAGGGTAACACCATTTATTTAATATTTTTGTCCTACACAAAAACATACAACATATGAAACTAAACACTACTGTCTATTGCAAACTGTGGAAGGACAATGCCTGTCGTGGTTTACGGTTTGGTTGGGCGTGTTAGGGACTATTGATCAGGGAGATTGGTGAGGAGGGTGATGCTGAGACTTGGGCGATTGGTGAAATAGGGCTGGAAAAATTGTTGAAGCATCTCGGATGTGCGGGCACGGTCAAGGTACTTCAGGTTAAGGTGTTTGAGGAAATCCCCGAGGGGTGGAATGGAGAGGGCAGTGTAGGAATCCTGGTTTCTGGTCCAAGGGGGGAGGTGGGAAGCTATCCTCAAGAAAAGGCGTTCAGGGGCTGTTAAGAGAATAGGGTGGGCATAGGTGAGAACGAGACAAATGACGGAGTACAGACGCCCAAGCGTCGAGGTGGAGCAGGGGCGGTTGTTTAGGACTTGGAGCGTACGGAGGCGGGTAGTTCGATTGTTGTAACCAATGATACAAGTCAGTCACGACATCCAAAATATGATTTTTGAGCTGTCTCACAACGTCCAATGCTATTTTTTTATTTTTTTTTAATATTACAACAGTAAAGGCTATTTTATTATAAATATTACAAGACAAATAAATCTAAATTACAAATATTACTAACAAATTTGATTCTTTCAATATATATGTTGGATGCCTGCTCCATCTTCGAATTCGACTGTTGCACGACGTCCAAATCTCATTATGTCCAAAAGTACAGTAACTACAAGAAACACAGTCTTTATACAAGCTTTGAATGTCATGGGATTAGTTTTCATGGAACAGCACACTTTTTACCCTTAAAAACTCAAAAGTAGCTCGACGGCTAAAGCCGCTGCCAGTTGCACGGCGTCCAATAGGTCAGCGCTGTTGCACAACGTCCAGAGCTAGGTTGGATTAGGTACATGTGGTAAATACGGTAAAACAGTACTCACTGTGTACAGGCGCTCTGGATGTTGTGGGACTGCGCTGAGTTATTGGACATCATGCAACTGGCAGTCAGTGGCTTTGAACGTGGTGCAACTGCTACTTTTTTTAAGAGTGTTAAGTGCACTGTTTCATCACAAGGGCTGGCGAGAGCCGTCACGGACCCCTGGGCTGTGCGATTCCCGGCCCCCTATTTTCCTGATTTATTTTTTAAGTTTTTAAACCATACAATAAGTAAGACGGAGCTTATAAACATATAAATATCAATTTATATACACTTGAGATTAATATAGATTTCTGTATTAATCACTGTTAATCTTGACTTAATCATCCAGTGACTGACTGACAGCTAAAAAAAAAACATAACCTCTTGCAAATATCAACCGTTTATCAGTTGTGCACTACTGTGTGCCAGCCCGTCAGCCGTGGTCGTGTCCATCTGCCTCCGTGCCGTTTTGTTACATAAATTTACATTTGACCCCTGCCCAACCAATCTCCACGTCCAGAGCTTGTAGAAAGACTATATGTTTCTTGCAGTTACTGTACTTTTGGACATGGTGAGATTTAGACGTCGTGCAACATGTACGTTGTTTTCCTTTTTTGTTATGTAATGTATTTAATATCTATTACATGCAACTGTTGACACTATTCAATGTATTTCTATGTACAAGAGACGAATAAAGTCGTCTTGAATTTAATTGAACAGTCAAAGGTTTTATTTTGGACGTCGTGACACTGACGTATAAACATTGGACGTCATGCAATGCATCCTCTCCAGTGACAGTAACACAAGTTTTACACTACCCACCTCAGCACAGGGAACTAAGATTTCTTACCGTGCAGACTAGAAGTTAACTCAGCATCCAACTGAGAAGAAGAATACGAACCCTTCTACTACCATGGTGACTGAGACTGGATGGGGTAAATGACCAGACCAAGAGTATAATTCAAATATCATATTCTAATTTCAAAATACTTGCTGTACATACACAAAAACGACCATTTTAGAAATATTTATTTAAATAATATATATATTTATATATTATGGATAATTTACAGACAAAAACAGCTCATAATTGTTCAAAATCATTTCCCTTTAAATATTAATCGATAACATTATTTACTTATGATAACCCCGATCTACAAATTTGCTAACAACGCCTAGGCTAAGAGACATACAAAAATGTACAACACAGAACGATGTCATGTTTGTACTAACTGTACGGAGCCGATATGTTTCTGGCCCCCGTTAACAATATTTACAACACTCGAGTCCTTTCTACAAAAATAAATAACACAAGGAATCTACCGATAATGATTGTAAATTTTATACGATATATATATACTCTTTATATAATAAAAAACGGGGACGAACTAGTGGAATTGTCCCCTAACCTATAACTTACTATACACAGATAATCGGTTTGTTTCCCTTCAATTCCACTTTGGTTTAGCGCTACAAGAGGATCCAGAACTATTTACAAATATGTACAAAATAAACAATAAAGAAAGATTTAAGCCCTGACAGAAAGCTGTTTGGCTGCTAGACTAGCTAGATCCCAACTCCCGACAATGAAACTGTAGCAGACTAAAGCGTCGCGTTACCTCCGGAAATGGCAGTATCGATTCGGCTGTGAACACTTTGTCTTTAAATATACAAGGCTTCGGTAATTTTCGATTGTTATATCTGGACTCAATCTGTTTACAATCGCCACAATCTCACGGTACAGGTAGCTTTTTAAGAAATACATGTGCCCATAAACGATTACAACTTGATTTTACAATTGGCATTTAAAATAATGGAAGAAGAATCTAAATTGAATGATTAAAACAACCTCTCAGAAGACATCAGTTCACAACAAATTAGGCTTAGACATTTATTATATTGCTTAAATTATAACATTAAATAACAATATCAGTTAGTAGGCCTCTCGTTTAGGCCCAGACTAAGGATTATTATTACTTATGCTACTAATAACATGTAAATTAGTTTCCTTTCCTAAATTTCTTTGTTTGTACTTCTCCAGTAAAGAAATATAATGTTTCGCTAGAACCAATATTGTATTTGCCATAGTTCCATTTACAGGTGACTTTCCGCAAAGTAACGAATCAGTTTAACAACATCAACGTATCAGGATTAACACTTAACATTAAAAGGCCTACATAATCGGTATTTACAATATTAACATCCATTCCTTTGAGATAATAAAGACTTGTTCAATAAACTTTAACAAATAAAACCATCAAAAACAAATTTATGACACAAGGTTTAACATATTATTTAATGTGTCTTTTACATACACAATATCTACATATAAATTAAAAAATATATTGGTGTGTTTTTTGGTGCTTGGTTACTGTTAGAAGAATGGATCAACCTGAGTTAATAAGGAATAACTTTATGAAAACGTCAATTACGAGTGTTTATAGTAATTTAAAGCAACTAATAAAAATAAAATATATCTCTTATGGTAGCCTACTTATTTGTTTTATAATACAAAATGTTGTTATGTAAAAAATGTTAATATCAGCTCAGCCAAACTGGTTTTCTTCTCCTAACTAAAATTAGTTTCTATCTAAATATGACTAAAACTGAATAATGGGAAAATTAAGTTTTTGAACAGTCAATTGGCAACACAGTGAAATTTTTGTCTGAACCATGATCAGGTATGCCAAAGAGGAATTAAAAATTAAAATGTAGTGGAAACAATTTTAATTATTCAGTACAATTGATTGTTTTTATTAATTTAAGAGAAAATTTGGATCTAAATGCTAAACTAACTTAAACAAAATTATAAAAGCTATTAACCATTTTTTCCCCTCAAATAGTTAAATGTTTAACTTTATAACCCAGGTATAGAATGTAAAACAGATATTACAATATGTAACCAATGACTAAACAGGCCTAAATTCAATAAAACACTGCTTTGGTAGATATTTATGCAATAAAACTCTTTAATCAAAAAATATAATAAACAAGTATTTATAATATTTACAAAAGACATTGAGACTTACAGAGCCAGTTTCTTTGCCAAATTTACTTTGTCATAAGTCTAAAAAGTCCAACACTAAAACTCTTGAAAAAGAATTTGATACCATAATTGTTTAACATTCCTTTATTATGTATAAACGTACGCTACGGTTACGCTATAATACTGATCTGCTCAACCACAGCTATATCTCACTGTAATATATAAGTTAAAATAATCAAATACCAAAATAAAAAAAGAAATACATTCAACAATTAAAAATAAAACAAAAATTGTTTAACAAAACATAAAATTTTCTATAGCCTATCGCTTGGCAAAACTAAACAAATTTAATGTTCTTCGACAACTAAAAATTAAACAGAATAACATGAAATATAGTTCTTATCACAATCTTCTGTCAGATCTGCTACAACCTTCTCTTCTAAACTACATTCTAAAACGTAGGTACCGGTTTCAAAATTTGACATACAATATTGCTGTTTAAAAAAAATCTGATCTAAGATCCATTATACAATTGAAATCCAATTGAATAAACTTCCGTTTCTTAAAATACAAACAGCAACAGAAATCTCAGTAACAAAACTTCCGTTAAGCTAATATAATAAATTACCTATTAAAATAAATTCTATCGCTTACGTTTAAAATTGTATAAAAAGTTTATCATAGGACCTAATAGAGTAATTGACAGGCAGTAAGATAGGCAATGCGATCTCCTTCGTACGTCAGGACTTGGGAAAACAGTCGGTCGTTCGGCCTCGTAACCTCATAAATAAATAAATCTAACCCGGCGTACGGAGGACACCTGTTAATATTGCACTAGTCGGAACTTAGGGGACCGAACAGGAACCGATTACTATAACTGTCTTACAGTACCGCCGGTACAATAAATAAAATATATTACAATCTAACAAAAAAAGGATGACTTTACAACATAAATAAGTTATGTACAACTGGGAGCCTAATGTAGGGAAGGTCAAACGAGGGCGGAGGTCATGTGGTAGAGCTGCATGAGGATCTGCATGTGTACTGGTAGACAAGACAGTCGATCATGAGTGTTGGAGTCTAGAGCCAGCCAAGACAAAGAGTTGTATCCTTCCAGGACATACCTACAGACATACACACACACCATGTGAACGAATGAAGTAAAACATTTATTTTTGTTACACGTTGTGTACAGATATAATTACAATTACAGCCCACATTACGTCAGTTTAGTTTACGTTCTGTGCTTTAGACAATACTAGCTGTTACCCACGGGCTTCAACCCGTTTGACTTCATAAATAGTTTTGCGCAAGGTTTCTCGTCATGACGAACATTTTAAGTATGTGGTTTATGGGGGTGTGACTTGTAGTTTTCTCAAAAGTTCATGGGTACTTTTGGCTTTATATATAGATTTGGTGTAGTCTTAAGTCAGTAGACAATAACTAGTTGTGGTGAAAGAAAATATGATGTAACAAAAAAGAAAGGGTAGCAAATAAAGGCATTTACATTGATTCATTCGCTATCAGAGTTGAATTTCACCGAAAGAAGAGACGTTCCACTCCAACCAGTAGTATCACAAGTACACCCGAAAACTCATCAACCACGTGTTATAATTGACTTACAGTGGACAAGCAGAGTTAGCTATTTACCTGAGCACGTCGGTGGTGTACTGGCTGTCTAGGGGATGTCCCGCCACATTGGTCTGTTGCTGCAGTAATTCCTCACTGCTCTGATGTATTGCAGTGCTGTGTAGGTGTAGAGCATTCTTGAGGAAGGTAGGACAGGCAGTCTCCAAGTGAGGCGCAGCTGTCCAGAACCAGCGAGGCATGCGGCCAGTAGGTGCTGTAGACACCAGGTAACCCAACGCCAGGGGCTGTTGTAGCAGGGTACCCACCTCCTCACTTACTTCCCCACTCTGACAACAACAACAACAAACAGTAACATAACACTGTTATTTTGTCCTAATATACGACTTTGACAACAGATTTATCTACCAGAATTGATCAAACTGTACTGTCTTGAGAAGGCCCCTGGTGTTATGTTATGTTAATATTGTATTGTACCTATAATCTCCAATACTCTTAAATTTTGCAAATTAGCTTGCTGAACACAATTTAAAAAAAAATCTTCATCTCTGTAACAAATCGTACAGTGGATATAAATCGGATTGCTTTCAGAGCGAGTAAAGCCAGTTGATCGGAGGAAACACGATTTAAGATTCCTATATGGAAAGAAATTGATAAACTTATTTGCATATACCGGTAATACTATTTTATTCTATACAATTATTAACCTGAATCTGAACTATTAAACATGCATAACGAGTATTTAAGTATACAGAAAACAGGAAGACAATTTTATGTTTAAATTAAACTGTAGGCAATTACAACCCAAACATTTTTACATTATTTCAATGCTCGCAATCGGTGGAACTCAGCTTTATTTACAGGAAATAATTGATTGTTTATACCAAGTAGTCTATATTGAGAAAAGTACTGTAATAAATAGTCCAACAAGCTGATAATAAATAGAACTCTTGATAAAGCAACGTCCGTCAGTCTAAGGTAGAATAACTAAAAAATTAATAAATAAAAATAAACTCTGTTGGCCTTGCCCATGTCAACAACAAACTTGTCCAGTGTAATGCTTTGACTTCGGTGGACGCTGATAGAAAATGCTAGCTGAATGGTGTTTGTTTCCTGACACATGATACTTCATTGTCTTAAAAGACACCCAGTAACAGGAGTATGGTAATTGCCTCCTTAAATATATATCCTCAACATGTTTTTATTGCTCGTTTTGGCCTACTAAATAAATAAATCATTGAAACCATTAACATACTGGTTCATAATAAACCTTAACACGATTCAATAAAGGGAATAAACTCAAGAATAAATTTCCAAGGGTGTACATTTCATTGAATGGAAAAATAAGTATACTTTGTGCTGTTAATCTATGAAGAGTAAGGTTGATAAATACATTTTACATTGATTATATTTGTGGTCTTTCAAGCTTGTGTTCAGCGACTTGTTTCTCCAATAATATGGATCAGCAGTTCCCAAACATTTTTGGTCTGGTGACCCATTTACAAACAGCAACACCTTGCAACTTTTTCCCCGACCCACTTACTAAATAATAATTACTAGAGGTCGTCCAGTGGTCGAAAACTCAACCAAAAATATGTAATGTACTGACCACGTACAGACTTCTCTTTTTTCACCCCATGCTGTAAATAAAACATGTGGTTGGAGTTTCTTCCATTCGTTATGATTTACTGTTTACATTTCGTTGTTTTTTTTCACAAGTATGGCAACCCATAAGGCCCATGTTAATTAAAAAAAAAAATTTAATTCATTTTTGTGTGCTTATTTTTGAGTCTATTTTAATTTATAATGGGATTCTGCACACCTACAGGAAAATATATTTCTAACAGTATGTGTAGATTTTCCCTACGATGCACACAAGCAGAAAAAAATGGTTTGAAAGAAACATTCTTGCCTATTAATATATATTTAGGCTATACAGTAATTATTTATTATTATGAATTTTGTAATATTGTAAGTTGTAACTGACAGACAAGACAGCAAGAAAAAACAATTAATAGACTTGGATACAAAAGATAAAATGTATTAAACAAAATTGGACAATGATAATAACAAAATCGTAATAAATAAACTGTATCAGTAGTGATGTGGACCGGGTAAATACCCAGTGGGTAGGTAAATATAAATTGGGTATTTACCCGGGTATTTACCCCAGGCCTGGGTAAATACCCAAAAACTGGGTATTTATAATTTTTATTAAAGTTAGAGAAGATTGAGATGTTTTTTGCAATTATTACCCTGTAAGGATAGTAAAATGATGATAAAATGTGTTAAACAAAATTTCATATGGTCACTACTAGCATTTTACTTCTGTGTATACTCGCCATAAATACCCAGGTCTGAGCATAAAGCATAATCGGCATAAATACCCTGGTCGCATGGTTGCACTGGTCCTGACTACTTATGATTTTTTAATTTCTATGATATATAGATGAATTTCAATTTATTTTATTGAAAATTAATAAAATTATTTTTAAAGTAATAATTATTATTTAGGAAGACAGGAAAATTTAACCTAGTAGTGGCCTATGTGTAAACAACTTAAGAAAATAATTAAAACTCAATCTGTAGGATGGCAGAATTTAATAATATTTTTTTCTAGATCTTTTGTTGGTATCAATAGTATCAAAATAAAAAAAAAACTAATTTCATAAACTTGTGATACAAAACATTTGAATCTATAGGCCCAGTAAATCTTTCAACAATTTCTGGATATTTATAAATTAAAATAATTATGTTTATGTTATTTAATTGGTTATAAATTTATAAAATGATAAAAATTGAAATAGCCAGCCTTTTTTAATAGGCCATTTTTAGTAAGTTAAATTTTAACTGATGTTACTTGATTTAAGACACGAAACCCCATGCTTATTTAGAAAATGTATGTATCATTTAAAAAAAGGTGCTAAATCATTAAATAAAAGGTACTAGCAAAGCTTCAAGCTACTGTAGGCCTAAAAGGTGTTATAGACTATCCTAATTTATCATGTAATGATAATAATAACATATTTAGGGGTATATATAAATGAATTTCAATTGATTTCATAAATACCCAAAATACCCGGGTATTTATGGATTTTGGGTATTTACCCGGGTAAATACCCAGGGTATTTACCCCGAGTTTTAAATACCTGGGTATTTTACATCACTATGTATCAGCAATCTGACACATACTTTCTCCCATAAGCTTGTCAAAAACCTTTATCATGGGTAAGCGTTGGAAGTAACTATGATATTTTATAGGAAAAAATCACAAAAGTTGCAATAACCTTTGAACCGTAATTGTTACAGCAATGGGGGGGTTGCACTATTTTGTTTAGAATTATAAGGACCATAACACATTCATTTTTTTAAACCAAAACCAGCTTTTTCCATAAACCCGATTTTTTGTTATTTTATGGGGTTTTCACGGGAAAATAACATAAGTTACAATAACTTTGGAACCGGAATTTTAACCGAAGTGGGATTTGTACCATTTTGAACAAAGAAAATCGGTTTTTTTGAAAAACGGATTTTCTGTTATTTTATGGGTCAAATAGATCAAATAGGGAATACGCAATGTCAGAGACACCTGCAAGTGCCGGCCAACAAAACATTGAAGGACCTTCAGCAGCATATAATCATGAAAATATTGAAGAGCCACCTGCTTATCACTTAAGACGATCTTCGAGGATAAAGAAATCTAAGAAATGTAGTTGTTGCAAGTGAATATTGAATTAACGTTGAAGTCAAGTGGGGGAGAACTGTTATATCTTGTTTTATATATATATATATATATAAGTCTGGACCAGTTAATTAATTTAAATATTTCAATCCTATTTTTAATATATTACAGCTGTTAATATGTTTACTAATGTTTACATTCTAAGATTGAAGATTAATAATACCCCCGTCGCAGCAAACCTGCATACTAAGCGAATTTCTATTTACCCGGCTTGATTTCTACTAAAATATTCCCTATAAATTATCAGATATATTTCCTACAACATTAATTTTAGTGAGTAGTTAGGTTTGCTGCTACGGGAAAGATGTTGAGGTGGGTTTTTTCAATTGAAATATTGATAGCTTAGTATGAAATAAACCAAATTGCCAAATTTGATTAAAATATATCCATAAACAAGCAAACTAGAACAGTTTATTTATTCTCCATAAAAATAACATGGGTATTTTAAATTTACAGTTTTTTAAATTTTCTCCGTAGTCAATGAACATTCAAAAACACTTCAATATACTAAATTATTTGTTTTTTTAAGCTCTTCAAAATGGTCTAGAGAGAAATTTAGAAATTTAAAGTTTTTAGGGTCAAAAATGAGAAAAATCCATTTTTACCCCATAAAACCCCCCATAAACCCCTGAACCCATGGTCCGATTATGCTGGTTCGCGAACTCGTTCGAATAAATGTAGGTTTACACGTTTGTACCAAATTTCATCAAAATCGGATCAATTTTGCTCGAGTTATCGCGCTAACGGACACATATATAAATATATATATATATATATATATATATGAATTTGAACGGATGGTGTTTTTGGCCTCTGGGGACCTCAAAACGAAAAAGTAAATCGGTCCCGGGTCTAGGTCTTACCCTGAGACCTACGGTAATAGCTTATTCCCTATATGGGAAATTCGCTAAAACAAGACTAATTTTTAGTTTCTTACAATTATATTTTATAATTATTAATTCAATAAGTACGTAAAAGAACCTTAGGCCTATAACTTTAATTTAACATATTATTCAAATGTATCTCGAACATGTGATGTTTGCTCACCCTGGAGGGTCCATTGCAGGGGTAGGGGCTGTGATGGTCATCAGGCCCTGTCATACAGCTGGGACTGCCAGCCTGGCTACTGTCCCCGCCACGTCCCCCGCCAGGACTACGACCACCCCCGGCATCTGCCTCCGTCTCAGGCCATGTACTGAAGATGTCATTAAAATCACCCATCCCCTCAGGCATGTCATCGTGAAGGGCTGAGAACAGCTCGTCATCTCCTAGGTCTGGTCCATTAATCTGCTGTTCATGGAATGCGGTTTGCGACGACTGTAAACAAACAGTTCCTTCAGTATTTCAAGATGGAATGGAATTTAAAAATGTGAGTTACAAAAGTATAAGGAAAACAGTTCCTTCAAAGGATAGTATGGCAAGGAGGCAAAGATTAACATTTTAAACAATTTTTCTACAAATGATTTATAAGTTGTAGACAACAATTGTGCGTTACAATTCATCCTAAAAGGTAAATTTTGTTGGTAAAAAGGTGTACTGTATTATACTTGTAAATAGATTAATTTTAATGTACTTATTTTTATTTCTTAGAAATAAGATCTGACACCATTCATTGTACATAAATTGTACATATTATGAATAAAGACATATTTGATTTGATTTGATTTGAAAATCTCCTGCAATCACAACAGAATAATCAACAACAGGCCCCACACTAGGGGTGTGATTGTTAACTCATCATGCGGGCACCGCCCCAGTGTAAACGTTGTTTTTATCATTTTTTTATCATCCGACCTTGCCGCCGCCGGTTTAGGTAAGATAATCCAGACTGTACTGTATTCACTTGAACAGGGATTAATTTTTTTTAAAGGTCTTTTAAATACACTTGCTGTACAGGTTTTACCTAGGCCCTTGTGCTCTTTGTTACATCCTTCACTGTACAGTTTTATAACAGTACATATTTCTATTATCTGTCTATTCGCTTAACTGTTGCGCTTATGGTCCCGAGGATTACAGTTAAGTTAGGGATACAAGTTCTACTGTACTTGTAGCAGTTACCTGGGTGGTGGCGGAAGTGGGAAAGACCAGTATGTGAGTGCAGGTGACGTCCTGTGGTGTGGACAATTGACACTTGACACTCTGTTGACTGAACCTCTCATCTGGTGTGAATTGGTCAGGCATCAGCCGCAGACAAGAGTCCGGCTCTAGCGACACCAAACACGCAGACAAAATACATGGTACGTCGTGAGGATACGACAGTGAGCACTGGCCACAGATCTCCTTCAGGTGCTTGCTGGCCTTGAGTAGTGACTTACGCGACAACAGCCAGCTCCAACCTGCACAATGGCAAATATTAAACATCAAGTCTGGTAAAGAACATAACTGTGGACTTAAAAAACAGTTTGGTCCATTGGCGAATATAATAGGTTGTGTAACAAAGGTAGTTTTATTCAGTTTCTGTATCTCAGATTAGGGGTCTGCGGGTCAGACTTTTTTGGTTCGGGTCGGGTCGGGCCGATAATTTTGGTCCTCGGGTTTCGGGCCAAAAATTATTTATTACCGGATTTTTTTTCTTTTTTTAACTCCTATCTGTGTTTATAATATTACTTGAAAATAACATATGGAAAAAGATTGTATTTATGTATATTATTTCATGTTCATAACTTATTTACAGCTTAGGAGTTGCCTCAACTGCAAGAAAGAAGAAAATAATTTTTTTTTATCAAGCCATTCTTTCCCATTTTCATAACTGTTGAAATATCTAAACAGCTATATTACAACAAGTTTGTCATGGAACTTAATATAAATGAATCATAAACAAATCAATTAACCTTATCACAAGTTTAGGGCCGGTGGACTGGCTTCAAGACTGCAAGCAAGAAGAAAATAAAAATTCTATGTTTCCACCATGCAATATGAATCATTCATTCCCTGCCTCCTAACCTCCTAAGTACAAATACCTCACACTTACAATAGCATTATTAGTTACATCATCATAAATAAAGAATTATCTATTATTGGCATTAGTAGGCCTACAGCTTTACATAGGAATTATTTTTTATAGGGCCTAAAATAGTAATAGACTAAGCAACATGACAAGTGGAGAACTCATTGAAGAAAAGATATTGTGTAAACTAATTTACTATAAAACTCTAAAACAATAAATAACACACACACATTGTTTATGGTATAGTTATAGTAAAGACTGTAAAAATTGCATATCATGTCATACACAGTTATAGATACACAGTTATAGGCACAGTTATAGGTATTACAAGAGATTAAAATCCTAAAACAACTGATTTTAGCTAATAAATGAAAATAATTAAAAATCCATAAACTCAAGTCAAACAATATCACAATTATTAGGTACCCGAAAAGGAACTCTTAATATATAGAAAATTATATTAAATCAAGAGAAAAGAAAGTTAAATGCTAATTTGGCAACATAAGCAGACAGCAGAGACATTATAGTGCCCTAATTATCAACACAACTCAATGTTTTTGAAACTGTAGGGTCTTTTTCTCGGAAGGAAGGGTAGTAGAATGTAAACAAAAAACCATGAATCACTCTCACAGCCGGGCTGGGGACACTCAAGATTACAGACCCTCCCCCTCCCCTCCCCTCCCATCTTACACAACCCGAGCCAGGCCCGGGGACACTCAAGGTCATAGACCCTCCCCCTCCCCCGCCCCTATTACACCACCCGGTTGTTCCACAAAATACAAGTAACAAAACAAGGAAGTAGAGACAAAAAGATATATTTTCTTTATTCAAAAATATAAAACTGTTACAGATAATTTCCAAAGAAATTAATTCATGGTAGTTTGTGTCTTGTAAATATTGTATTGGATCTTAGAAATATCTTTTTTGAAACTCAATCTAACTTAAGAAAAAAATAATTTTACTGATGAAAACTTTCATAAAATTATAAAATATTTAGGCCTAACTTCTTTGTAGACTTGTTGATACTTGATACTTTATCAGATATTTCTTTTGTTTATAATTTATTATGTAAATAAAATACTAAAATATAATTTAAACTAGGTATGGAATAAACAATAAATAATTAAACTGGTACCTCTGGATAAATAGTCTTTCTTTTGACTTCGTTTTCTTTGCACTGTTGCGTCACGGCTTTTGTTTTGTCAGTAGACGACTGGCTCTGGCTAGTGACAGTAAGGCAATAATTGCTCTGTTGTGTCTTTGTTCTTAAACGTGATCAAACTTAATATTTAATTCTAATTTTAACATTTTAATTCCTCTGTAATAATGTATATAAGAGTGTTTCTTTGAAAATTACTTATTATAACTTTAAAAATAGCCTAATAATTATTTTTTTTGGCCCGACCCGATCTTGGCCCGAACAAATCTCTGACCCGACCCGGTCTCTCGGGCCTTCCGCTGGCCCGGCCCGACCCAAAAAAATCGGGGACCCGCAGACCCCTATCTCAGATAGAGAAAATGTATGGTTAGGACACTCTAGGAAAATTTTAGAAGAGAAAGGCAGGTTTGTTAGCATATTTGAAAATAAGTTATAGCCTAAAATTTGAGTTTTTAAACCCCTTTAGGTCCGGTTTCCCCAAAATGGGGTAAACTTCGTTCATAATAAACTAGTTTTTTTTAAACTCCGTTTAAAATGTGTGTTTGGTTTCTCCAACATTTTTCCTGGCTTCGTTTATGATAAACGGCAATGCGAGCAGTTGGCAATCCTGAATGTGTATTAAATTTTAGGAATTGTTAAGTGGACTATTGTTTCCTACAACGCTACAACTCGATCAACCAGACAACAAAGTGCGAATGCAGCTAGACTAACATCAACATCACTGAAGGTTATGTTATAAAGTTGATTTTACTTTTATAACAAGAATTATTTTAGTAAGTCCTCTTGTTCTAGGTACTAAAATGTTATAAGCTTCATTTCATACTTTTTCAAACTGATTATTAATTCTTCCATTTGAGTCAAGGCACTGCAATTAATAGTAGCCTAACTTAAAAATACTTAACAAATTTAAATGTAAAAATATGAAAAAACATAAAAATGAGAAAAAAACACAATTAAATTAAAACAATTAACTTAATTTAATTAGGCAGTTACAATATAAGCTTGCCCTGAACCAAGTCTATTTCCGTCAAAATGTAGTTGCTTCAATTATTATTGTTTTAACACCTACTTTTTGTTTTGGAATTATTTGAGGTTATGTTAATGTTGTAATTACTAATTTGAACTCAGTTTATTTTATACCTAGTAGTTAAACCAAGTCGAGAGGTGGTTTAGTTTAGACTAAGATTAATAAATAGTTTAAATTTGGAGAAACACAATCTAAATTTAAACTAAGTTTAAATCACCGTTTAACTTAAAACTAAGTTTAAATGGGTTGGGGAAACCGGGTCTTAAAAAGTTAAAAATATAATTAATTTTTCAAACATAATCTTATTTTTAACAGAAGGCTTAGATACTGGTAAGTTGTTTACATGGTAAAGCCCAGTTGAAGGTACCTTTCAGTTCTCCATGGCCTATCCTGCCAACTCTGCCAATGACTAGTCTCCACGGAGTCACACCTTGCGACATCACACCCAGGATAAAGTCCATCAACTTCTGGAGACCTATCCGCCGAGCTGATGCTTTTCTTCTCCTGCTCCTGTTACAGACAAACACTGCTCTCAAACAAAAGGTTCAACACATCTCTGTATCTAAGAGTTTTCCTTCCCCTAAAAATGCTCCTTACTTCAAAGGAAAAATCATGAAAATCTGTCAAGTGGTTGATTTAGAATATATGAGCAAAAAACCCCTTCACATTTTAATATACAGGGTGTAAAAAAAACTAATACCCCCGCCGCAGCAAACCTGCAGACTAAGCGAATTTCCATTTGCCTAATTGGATTTACACTAAAATGTCTCCTTAAAAATATCAAATTTATTCTCTACTAGTGTACATGTTGCTCGAAATCGAGCAATTGCAAATAAGTACAGGAGTTATTTATAAACAAATAACTTGTTTAAAAACTAAAACAGTCATAATTTCCGATGTTTTTAAAAGAGACAACTTAAAGATTATTAACTAACTAGCAACAGTGCCCGTTGTGGTTAAATACAACGGTCTCTAGTAAAATAATGGTTATGAAATCCATACACCACTTTACTCACTAATATTAATGGTACATTTTAAGCACATAACATTAGAATCACATACTTAACATAATAAACACATTAAATACAAATGCAAATTATTAACAACAACACTTAATCAAAGAAAAATTAATTAGATAACAATATAACAATAAGCTGTTGAATTATTAACACACGTTTCGTATGATTATATTATGCATACTGGTAAACCAATTATTACCATCTATAAAAATAATTGGTTTTTTTTTCCGAGTCGGGTTAGCTCTTCTACCGACCGATTTTCATAATTTTAGCCTGAAACTAAAGGTATGGTCGTACCGCAGATTTTCCATCAAGCATCGGCATTCATCTTGACGTATATTTCGAGTTATGCACAAACTGCCTCACTGTGCATTTCTTATGGGAGTTAAATTTGGTTTTTTTCAAGTTCAATGTTTCGCAGGCGGGCGATGGTTTACAGGAGGGCTCTTCTACCCGCCCGATTTTCATAATTTTGGTCTTAAAATAAAGATATGCAAGCACATATTTGTCATCAAGCATCATGATTAATTTATCTAATGTATTACTCTAATGCTATCCAATGACATATTAATTAATAAAATCGGTTCAGTAGAACTGTAGATTTAATTGTACAAAGCTTAACAATAACATCTTTAATTCAGTATTTTCTCACTACATACTATAAATTTGGAGGTTGCTTAACGTTTTTGCAAATAACTTTGAAATGGCGAGGAAATCGACCAAAGTAGAAGGTGATAGTCTGAAAGAGAATAAAATTTCCTACAAATTACTATTATGTATTTGTTGAAAATACTCAATAAAGGCAGCCTAAAGTTGGTTACAAATATAAAATTGGAAATATAAACTTGGGAAAAAAGGAGTTTTAAATGTTTAATTTTTTATTTGTATTTTTTCACCTTAAATATCTAATAAAATCGAACTTTCATAATTATTTGCAAATCTACAAAAATTAGGCTTTCCAATGACCCATTAAGTAACAAAATCAGTCCGGTAGAAGTCTAGATTTAGTTGTACAAATTTTAACAAAAATATATCTAATTCAGTATTTTCCCACCACTATAAATTTGGAGATCACTTAGATTTATTGCCAATATCTTTTAAATGGAGGGGAAATCAACCAAAGTGAATGTGATATTCTGAAAGAGGATAAAATTTACTACAAATAACTTCTATGCATTTCTTGAAAATACTTAATAAAGGCAGCCAAAAGCTGGCTACAAATAGAATCTTGAAAACAGAAACTTGAAAAAAGCTGTTTTAATGTATTTTTGTTATTTTTACTTTTTCACCACAAAAATTTCATAAAATTACAATTTTATAATTATTTACAAATCTACATGAGTTAGGCTTTCTAATGACCCATTAATTAACAAAATCGGTCCAGTAGAAGTCTACATTTAGTTGTACAAAGTTTAACAAAAATATCCCAAACTCAATATTTTCTCATTACTATAAATTTGGAGGTAGCTTTTTTGCAAATAACTTTTAAATGGTGAGGAAATCAACCAAAGTGGAAGGTGATATTCTGAAAGAGAATAAAATTTCCTACAAATTGATACCATGCACTTCTTGTAAATATTAAAAAAATGGCAGCTAAAAGTCGTGCCCAAATAAAAAGTGTGAAAAACACCGTTTTCAATGTATTTCTTATGGAAAACATGTTTTTTAAAGATTTTCACCATAAATCATAACAAAATCAAACTTTCATAATTATTTGCAAATCTACACGACCTAAGCTTTCCAACAACCCATTAGTTAATAAAATCGGACCAGTAGAACTCTAGATTTAGTTGTACAAAGATTTTTAAAACTGATTTATATATAGAATAGATGGGAATACTCACAATTTACCTAACAGTCCTATTCCAATTTAAAGGGTTAATTTTTAACAATCAAACTGTCCATGGACGGGAAAAGGTAAGCTTACAATTTTAGTCAACGTAAAAAGGCTGTCAGCTTTTATAAAGTACCGTACCTGTTTTTTAGCCAATTTGTAGACAATAAGGTGTAGGCTACTTTAAACTCTATATGACAGAGTTAGGCAAACACTGGCAGAACTCTGAAATGGTGTTATATCATAGGCTTACTCATATGCCAAATCCTTAAAATAAAAATTCTATAATTAATAACTTATATCATTAAACACAAATCAACTTGTTTAAAAAAAAATTTTAATACAACATATAGATAATTTACACATTGACTGTTTAATTAACATATCCTCTTTTTCTCACTATTAATTTTTGCAACGGGAAAAATCTGTTTCATAATCATTGGAATAGGTTTATAATAAATAATCTATATATATATAATCTATCATAAAGTTTAAGATTAAATAAACCCGCCACATAGTTGTTATATTTTTTGGATCAGCTGTCTGAAATTGTGAAATAGGCATTTGACAGTTCTGGTTGAATACATTTAAATGTCAAAGCAAATGTAAACATTGTGAATTTTCTCATGCTTCCATGGAGACCAATTATTAATATTGAATTTCTGACAACAGCTGGAGTTTCAAAACAATGTTTGTTTCCCATGTTAATCTTATGGAGAAATACAAAACTTTAAAGTGCCCCAGGGCCTCACTCTCTAATTATTTCCCTAAAAATAAAGTTTCCTGCACAACTTCGTGTTACGCTCTTTCCAATGACACCAAAAACATGTCAATCGGTTCAGTAGTTTCGGAGGAGTAATTGTCACAAAAATCCTGCTTGCGTATTAAATAAGTATAGATTTAATTAGGTAGCATTAGTTTAACGAGTACGGTACTCTATGTTTGCTGCAACAGGGAGGGTAAAAAAGTGTTTTTTTGTAAAATGTTAATAGCTATGAAATAAAATGTATTTTCCAAATGTGATCAAAATGCGCTCATAAACAAGCAAACAACAACAGTTTACTACATGATGAAAATGTCTCATTTTGATGAAATTTGGCTTGAATGTGTAGGGCGGGATAAACTTGAATGAGTTCGCGAACCTGCATGAACGGACCTTGGGGATTGGGTTTTATGGTGTAAAAATTGGGGTTTCCCATTTTCAACCCTAAAAATTGTTGTAGTTGGGTTGTTTATGGATATATTTTGACCAAACTTGGAAATTATTTTTAATACTTAAACTATGAACATTTTACTAAAAAACACACTTTATTACTCTCCCTGTAGCAGCATACTTAGGTACTCATTAAACCTAATGTTGTTTAAAAATATTTCAGTGAAAATCAAATCAGGCAAATGGAAATTTGCTTAGTCTGCATTGCAGGTTTGCCGGGGTATTACTCTACTCTACAGTAGCTCCATTTGTTCATTCTAGAATAAGGATATGCAATGTTGTCATATAAAGGTATTGTGTTATGTTTGTGTTTCATTTAAAATGTAGGAAATGTAATGTGTTTATTAATTTGACAATCTCTCCAGTGAGAATTTAGGGGTGCCAAATAATAAAAATCAAGTGGTTGACAATGAAATATAAATGAATTGGAACTACAAACAATTTGTTAATAGAGGTAGCTGGGAATATTAAGGTGTTGTTTGCTTAAAACTATTTACTGATCATTTTGTCTGCGCCAATTTCAAATCAAAATAATTTCATGTCGAAATACTAGGGGTCTGCGGGTACCCGACCCGGACTCGAAAATTGGGTAATTTTGCACTACCCGAAGTGTCGGGCGGGTATAAGAAATACCCGATTTTATTTCAAGCGGGTAATCCGGTAACCTATTATTACAAATTTTAATGTTTAATTATACAATTTTCAGCCTTATATGAAGATATTTTAATAACAAATTAATAAAACCTAAATTGTGTGCTAAAAATGTTCTTAACCCCATACTTCAACACCATCCAATGACTGACTAAATCAGTCAAATAAATAAATGTTCTTCCATTCCTTATTTTAGGCTACATCAATATCGTCGTCATCTGCTTGCTGGCACACCGTCTGCATTACACATGCCGTAGCATAATTAATTATCATAGTACATAAAACTCAACTGGACAGTCACTGCCAAGAATGTTGGTATGATACAAGAATATCTTTTTATATTAAGCCTATTCATTTGTGTTGGAAACTTAAGTTTACATATTTTATATTCTATATTTCTTGATTTTTTTATAAGTCAGAATGAATTGTCAAATGTTATAAAATGAATATATACATTATACAACATATATGATTTACATTATTAAGTCACTTTTTTAACTTAGCAAGACATGCAAAATCTGTGCCTAAATAATTACGAAAATTAATAATACCTCTCTTGTCAGAGTAGACACTACAATAAGTATTATCACAACTGTGAGGCTGCATGGTTGACAAGCAAGACTAACTTTTAAAAGAATTGAATTATACATCAGCTGAGCTGGGGTTTGGGTTCAGGGTCGGGCCCTGTCAGATTCGGGAGTTACAGTGTAGATTTATCTGTTTATGACAAATAATTATGGGTTGGAGCTATAAAGTGTTATTAAAGAGCTTTACGTAAATGTGTCTGTTACTGATTAAAGAATATTTATTTCCTTCAAAACTAATGTAAATAAAAAGGTAAAGATTATTCTTTAATCATTTCACCGGTGTTTTAGTTTTTAACTAAGCCCGTACTTAGGCCTAGAAAGATACCACGATCAACATATTGTTCACGAAAACAGTTTCACTAATTAAGGCCCAAAGGATCCTAGTTTGTCTATACCTACACCCAAACCTGTAAGGGAATTAGTACACTATTTGCAAAAAGTATCTAAAGTGCTTAGCCTATTGAGGATAAATGTAATAGAGGATGGTTGAAAGTCTTAAGATGCATCAATATCAATATCAAATTTAAGTAGGCATAGGCCTAACTTAGCCCAAAGGCACAGAGGTTTTATTTTGTCATTAAGTAAAGTAAGGGTCTACTAACTTGCAATAGGCATGTCAAAATATTAAGTTAGTGTTTAATCTTGTATTGAAATGTTTAATCTTCATATTATTGATACTGGTATATAAAATATATAAAATATTCTAAGAGCAGGCATACATTTGTTTGGTAAAATATCAATAAAAACCCAACAAATATGTACTTGAAAATTAAATTTTGGTCATTTTGAGCCCGACCTGAAAATTACCCGGACTCAAAGTGATCATTTCAGTACCCGACCTGAACCCGCCCAAACCTAATATTTCACTAACCGCAAACCCCTACGAAATACTTATTGTGAATCTTTACTAATTATACCTGTTGGGTATGTGCACATTAATGGTAGCAGTCTCTAGTAGGTGGCCTTGCTCATCTGTGGCTGATGCCAGAAGGAACCTTTGGTCTTCGCTGAGACAGTAGCTGACGTAGAGTACAGAGCACAGCTGTTCAGAGCCCAAGACACCCTCCCCACCGTCCCCTCCACCACCCACCTGGCCACGGGACTTGGCCAGCACGTACGGTGGTGTGTACACCTTGTATGCTTGCCTGTTCTTTTCCTGCACACACATATTTAAAGATAATTAGATTGTTTGTCAGGTACAGTAATTTACAACTTATTTTACCATTTGCAATGTACAACCCCTCATATCCGACCTTGGAATAACCGAATCCTCGGGATGGGATCGGTTAACCCAGAGGCCGATCGGGGATGTTGCCGTGATCGCGGCAGACAATCACCACTGTCGCCGATAATGGGTGTTGCCACAGGTGACGATTACCGAAGTCGCGGAGGCTGCAAGTTATGCTCAAGGGTGTTGCCGCCTTTGCAAGAGAAAATTACCAAAGTAGTGGAGACTGCAAGTTATGCTCACGGGTGTTGCTGAGGTCGCCGGACACGATTACTGAAGTAGCCAGTGGCAGATTTACCTACAGCGCCGCCCCTAGGCCTGTTCGGCCGGCCGCCCCTTTGTGTTTCGCAAAAAAGGAAAGGAACTCTCTCTCTCTCTAACGCTTTCCCTTCGACAGTTTGCGGAATACTGCACTACTTAACTTTTTTTAGTGTTTCACTCATTATTATTATTTTCTTCATGCATATTTACAAAATTAAAATTACTAGAAAAGTAAAACAATCAAAAGCGGTTCCAAAAAAAGTTAGTTTTTTTACATAATATTGTTCTGCCAAAACACAAATAATTAATGACTGCTTTTGACACGTCCATTATAACATTACGAAAAAGTAATAAATAAGCCTATTTTATATTGTCATTCAATATATGAGTAGCCAACAATCAAGAATTAATAAAATGGGCGAAATTTTGAGCAATGACTTAATTGTCATATTTACTAACCAACATTTTCGCAGGCGTTTGACAACAAAATTCACTAAACTGAAAGGTTTTAAATTTAACATTCAAAACAGCTAACAATATAACTGCCACTAGAAATACAACACAGGTACTGGAAATGACACACTGACAGTGCTCGCTACTCGCAGTCTTATGTCTGCATCTGCACGTCGCAACTTGAAGGTGAGTCATCTTCACCGCTTAGGCAACGGCCACACGGGCGTTTTTTTCACGCACAACCGCTGCGTAAACACGCGTAAATATGAGTAGCAATTAATGTAATGGGGAATGCCACAAGCCCCACACACAGTGTGTTTTTCCACAATAGCGGGCGCCATTTTGCCGACTGCTCAAAAATGGCAACCTTCAAGGACCAAAAAAAAAAAAAAAAAAAAAAATCAAAAATCAAAAAGGTTAATTTGTTTGGTCAAATGGCGAGTATAGGTCACTGGGCGCCATTTTTCTGACTGCTTGAATGGCAAGCTAAATTCTCCAAAAAATGTGGAAAAAATTCGACCTCAAAGGGTTAATATAAATTATATTCAATTTGCATTGTTTATAAAAATTTGTTTTTAAACAAAAAAATAGTTTGGAGGAACAAATGGTCAAAATTGGCGATTTACATCAAATTTAGTATCAAAATAATCCACATTTGAAGGCAAATCACTATATGATAATGAATAGCCTATTAATAATTTTTGTAAATAACTTAACTTAAGTTTATGGCATTGGGTAACTTCAAGAGATGATCACATACAATTAACTCAAGACATTTTACCCAGTCATCAACATTCATGTACAATTCCTGGCTCTCCCGGTTTCCGGGTTGGTTGGAGATTCTGTAAAATTATGGTAAAATTATCACTCACATCTTTGGTTTTGAGGAAGAGGTCAGTGCAAGCTGCCGTGCCGAAGCCAGTGAGTGCCTTGACCTGGTTGGTTTGGTGCTGCAACTGTCTCCTGCATTGTGAGAACACTGACAATGCGGTCGCTCGCATGTGATCACTGCGTCTCTTGCGATCACCACTGCGACCCAGCTCCAGTATGCTCTCCAGCGAGATTATCTACAACATTTACAACTCATTAAATACCAAACACACACCAACATGCTTGCCTAGTATTACTACAGCTATACCGTCTAAGAAAACAATCCAATCTTAAAACATTTTAATTAAACTATTGTTGAAAATTATAAAAATCATATAATTTGCTGGCAAAATATATTCCAATAGCCTATTTGTTTTTGTAGCTGATTTGGAAGGTATGTTTTGGGAACAAATAATAACTTGACCATGTAGGTTATTATTATTACAATGTGGTCTAGGTGTATATTTTGATCCCAAATATGAGCAAAGGATGAGTGTGTGAGATCTTTCAGCAAAAATCTTTCGATTCAATTCAAAGAATTTACAATTCAAATTGATGAATTTCTATTCGAAGCACCACAGAATTTTTCTATTCGTACTTGTCAATTAAGTAAAGTAACAAGAATTAAAATTTACCAGATTTGTGTTTGGCAAATTTTTTTTGATGTAATATTTGACATATATGTACACATAACGTATATGACTTTTAGGAGAAAAAATATTTATTTTCATTTCAATGATATATTAGAAAAGCCTGTATTGCTGGAAATGTAAGTTAATTGCTTGCTTATTTCACAATTTTTGTGTGCAGCATCTCTTTGTTAAGCATGGTACCTATTTTATATTATTGATTTTAGAACTAAAGATATGTTTTGAGAGAATAAATAAAAACATTGATAAGATTTATAACGAAACTTTCAATTGGTTCACACCGATAGCATAAAAGGATAGAATCAGACCTACAAACTAAAAGATAACTCTTTATTGGCACAAGTACACTAGACAAGTTTTAGACAAACTGAAAGAGTTGTTCTTAAATGGTTTTGTATAGGAAGTCATCTTAAGATTTTGGTGTTTTTAAAGATGACAGGTATCAATTAAGATTTACTTGTAGATTATGAGCAATTTATTATGCCCATCAAGAAAGGAATAAGAGTAGGCATTTCCCAAGTAGTAACCCGTTTCAGTGAGGTAAAGAACAAATATATTGATAATGTATATTTATGTTTAAAGAAAACACATGAATTAATTGCAAGGTAAAATAGTTTTATAAAATAGAACTGAACTTATTCAGGGTGTCTAATATATTTCCATTTGAAAATTCAAGACTAATTCCAGATTTTTCAAGACTATTTTTTGCAACAATTAGTGAGTGTCGATACCAAAATGTATCAACTCTCAATTCATGATACAGATACCAATTTTTACACCACAGATACAGATACCGATACAGATACCAGTTTTACACAATTTTCTAAATAATTTAGTTATACTACACACACCCATTGTCTTTATGTCATAAAGTATTATTAAGATAATGTTGTGTTTTCAAATACAAAATGCAGCAATCAAAAATTCTAACTAGCCAATTAGGGTTTTTTTTTTAATCAAAATTCCTTAACTTCTCTATTGAACATGTAAGCTTCAACATCTTAAATTCAGTGGGGGTATACCTATGTAAAACATTTAAATAAAGTCAAAGTGATTGTAAGTATTTAACACAATCAACAGAAGAGTAGCCTTTACATACATTTTCTTTATTTTAAATTTGTAACTTACTGCCACATCAAGATTTATATTAACTACTGAAGAACCAACCTGGTGAGAACTCTCCATTTTGTGACTATTAGGCTTAGCCTACTTGAAGAAATTTAACTTAACACAGACATACTTTATTTTCAATCTGATCAAACCTAATTAGGCTCACAATTTAAAAAATGTATCTTTATTTCATCAAGAATAAATTCAGAAATCCAATTTGAACAAGATAACTTAACTAAATTCAACCTTGATTAATTTAACATCCTTATATAAAAAGCGTGAAGGCGATTTCTACTAAACACTACTCTGTTAAATATGGAGGTTAATAATGGATGGATTTTTACAAACGATGTGTCAAAATTAAGTATTTTTTGTGTAGACACCCCCTTTCACCAATTCCTGTAATAAAAGTTCTTGGGCTTTGCCCCACAGGCCATCAAAATCCCAATGTATTTCTTATGAAGAAAATATTTTTTCTATTTAACAGACAAATAATTTGTATTAATTACAGCTGTTCATAGTAAACACATATAATACACACTAAAGCGTTCGTTTCCAGAGTGAGTTTGTTTTCAGTTTTAATAACTGGAGTGGGGGTGAGCGTTCGTTTTCAGTTTTGATAACTGTAGTGGAGTGACTGATTACATTATTTTGAGTTGACTCTTTTAAGTAATTGGACTAATCAGATACTATGACTGTTATTCGTTTTGAAATAACGCCTGGAATACTTTGCAATTGCTCGAATTCGAGCAACAGGTGCACTAGTCTTTTCAATTCATTGATGGACTATTTACCTACCTAGCCAAGCCTAAGTGTAATATCAATTAATTATTCCCATTTTTAATAATTTTTATATGTTATTTAATAAGTTAAAATATTTGAAGATCTTTTGAGTCAGCCGAGTTCCGCTCCCTGAAAATATCTATAGTTAAACTTATCGTAAACTCATTGTTCAGTTTTACTGAGCTAGGCTAAACCAAAATGTTGACCCTTTATTGTTCATTTAAATTATCAAACCACATCCACATTCATTGTAATATCCTATTCTTAGTTCACTAAAAAAAATTTGTATTGTAAAGAAATCCTTCAGATTAGTCATTTGTCTTTCTATATATTTAATTTTGGCTTAGCTTAATCCAATAAATATTAAGTTATGACGAAATTTCGGGTTGAGAGACAAAATTGAGATTTTAAAGTACGTAATTGTCGTCTCACCTGAAATTCTGTCACACCTTAAATTTGTCCAGATAGCTTAGCCTACAATGAGATAGTCCAGGGCTCTAACGTGTTTGTTAATTAATTATCGTTTCGAGTTTATTGGCTCAGAATATTAATTACAACAAAAATGCTTACAATGTTAAGCTTACCTTTAACTAGTGCTCATCATAGCCACTCGAAAATGTAAAGTTAAATTTAGAATTTTGAATAACCTATCGAAATGCGAATAAGCCTTATTAATTAGAAACTGAACTAAAACGTGATTCGGTCGTTATACTTGGTAATCACCAAAGTAAACTTGTCGGGAAAATTAGACTCGGTCGATCACCAGAGTCGATACGGGTTTTTTTTAAACCAAATTTACGTAGAACGGTCCGGGGTAACGGAATAAGCACTACGGATATCGTTCTGGCAACTTAAATGATTTCCGTAGCTGGTTAAAGACAAAAGGCAGTGTGCTCGTACGTGAAAAAGCGTGCGGGGTGTGCGCGACTGCGGCACAGTAAAATAAAAATAATAAAACTTCTCCAAAAATGAGAAATAAATAAATGACAAAATAAATTCGGTAGCACACTAACCTGATGACTTATGATTCTACCAGGAACGGGGGAAATCTTTAATTGACCAGAATTTAGGAGTTTATAGACTGTTGGATTGTCTCCAAACAGCAAGCGTACTGACGGTTCGGTAGCGGGTGGACGACTGATCGTGAGGTCTGCTCTTCTGGTCCTTCTTCGCCATCGCCCCTGGCGGCGGGGTAGGTAACTAGCGTCATCCCCTCTACGATGACGTAGGACCATTGCCCCTACGATGCCGCTGACAACGCGGGCGCGGCTTACCCCGAACGTAGACAATTATAATATTTAAAATGAAACTTTTAAAAATCGGGTTTTTACCCCTTGACGGGTTTTGGGTCGTTACAAAGTAAAGGTACAAACCTGAACCAAGTTTTATTAGTTCAAATTACAAAGCACTACCAATAAACACATTTTGTATAACACTTGAGCCAATTGGGTAGTGATATAGATTATTATTTTAACAGCATAAACACAATGTTTTCTTTTAAGTATTATCTCACAGAACCAAAATACAGATGTATAAGACAATAATTCAACATATTCTGTTATATGGTAGTGAAACATGGGTATTGTACAAGAAAAATGAAAACCAACTCATGGTGTTTGAAAATAAAGTCCTAAGAAAAATATTTGGACCAGTGCAGGAGGGAGAAATGTGGAGAATAAGAAAAAATAGAGAGCTAAGATCACTATACACCGACCCAGATATTGTTGCAATAGTTTAAGGAAGAAGGTTCAGTTGGATAGGGCATGTGCTAAGAAGAGAGAAAGGAACAAGACTGTATTGGGAAGGCCAAAATTGAGATGGACTGACCTAGTATTGAAAGACATCAGGACAATGGGTGCAAATGTCAACTTGGCAGAAGACAGAGAAGGGTGGAAGAGGCTGGTACACGAGGCGAAGAATCAACTGAGATTTGTGGAGCCACGACAGTAAGTAAGTAAGCTCATTCTTCCTATTTATGTCCGTGTGCGTGTTTGAGTTTTGTGTATTTATTTACCATCTATTGACGACATTTGAATGAAGCGAGAAGACATCTTTAACAGCCTGAAGATGACTCCTATGTGAGTTGAAACCGGTAGCAACTCAGCTACAAACAGGATCGCATAAATGCAGGTATTTACTCCAATTTACAGTATTGAAATCTGTATAATCTTTCTGAAGTAAATTATCTCTAATAGAATCTTCATTTATACCCATTATAAAGGATGTAATGAAAGCATCTTGATCAAAGTCACCAGGGAAATCACAACTGCTGGCTAATTCTTTAATTTACTTGCAAAGGTGGACAAAGATTCAACACCTTGCTTCAGTGAAAAGAATTTGACTCTTTCGGCAGCTTTTAACTTTACTGGCTTGAAATGCTTTACCAAAAGTTCATAAAGTTGTTCATAAGTGAATTCACTAACTGCTTGCAAATAGTTACCAATGTTTTAAGAACTGTACTATTCAGACAGTCAATAAATAAACATCTTTTAATATCATAAATTGCCCAAACATTAATTTGCTTTGATTTTAATATTCCAAACATCAATGTCGCAAGAATTATGGTTAAATTTTTCACATTTAGGTTGACTCACCAACATAGGATTATAAAGAGTTGCTGGTAATAAATCTTCAGACATTTTAATAAATTAGACTGTGGAATTGGATAAACTATCTTGCACGCCATGTACTCCAACTATCTTGATTTCCATCAAATCATCCTCGTCGCCAGTTTTATGTATGAAGAAAATACATGAATTGTTAGGTAAATTAGTTTAATTAAATAGAACTGAACTTATTCATGAGTCAAAAACTAGAAATAAAAACTTGTTAAAAGTCATCTGCAATAATTTAAACAATGTTCAAACTTAGCTAGCAGTATCCCTGGATGTTAATATAACTAATGAGACTCAAAATCTAATTATTTAATATACTTTGATATAAAGAACTTATATGGATAGGCAATGTCACAGTATATGCTGGTATATACCTTATAATCGGGCCTTCCCGCATAGATCAAATCGGAATTGTAATATATTTTCGATGCACTGCACACCCCTAATGCTACCGTGAAATAGACAGCCCATTCCTATTTTGATATACTCTTATAATAGTAGCCAGTTTTACACAGACTGTAATTGGTACAAAGCTTGTTACCTGGAACGTGATGTTGGCCCGTATGTTGTCAGGCAGTGCAGACTGGACTGTGTTTGAACATCTGAGTAGTCCTAGACATGCAAACCTCTGTAGCTCTGTAGAGTCACTGCCCATGGTAAAGGGCTCGACCAGGTACACTACTATAGCTGGCGGCTCCCCACTGTCCTCCTCTCCCCCACCCAGCTCTCCTCCACTACTGCCTGACTCCCCCCGCCCACTGTCCTCTGTAACACACACATACAACACAATAGTTAGAGTCACCTCTAATAATGAAGGGTTCTACCAGGTACACTACTATAACTGGCGGCTCCACACTGTCCTCCTTTCCCCCACCCAGCTCTCCTCCACTACTGCCTGACTCCCCCCGCCCACTGTCCTCTGTAACACACACACATACAACACAATAGTTAGTCACCTCTAATAATGAAGGGTTCTACCAGGTACACTACTATAACTGGCGGCTCCACACTGTCCTCCTCTCCCCCACCCAGCTCTCCTCCACTACTGCCTGACTCCCCCCGCCCACTGTCTTCTGTAACACACACACATACAACACAATAGTTAGTCACCTCTAATAATGAAGGGTTCTACCAGGTACACTACTATAACTGGCGGCTCCACACTGTCCTCCTCTCCCCCACCCAGCTCTCCTCCACTACTGCCTGACTCCCCCCGCCCACTGTCTTCTGTAACACACACACATACAACACAATAGTTAGTCACCTCTAATAATGAAGGGTTCTACCAGGTACACTACTATAACTGGCGGCTCCCCACTGTCCTCCTCTCCCCCACCCAGCTCTCCTCCACTACTGCCTGACTCCCCCCGCCCACTGTCCTCTGTAACACACACATACAACACAATAGTTAGAGTCACCTCTAATAATGAAGGGTTCTACCAGGTACACTACTATAACTGGCGGCTCCACACTGTCCTCCTCTCCCCCACCCAGCTCTCCTCCACTACTGCCTGACTCCCCCTGCCCACTGTCCTCTGTAACACACACACATACAACACAATAGTTAGTCACCTCTAATAATGAAGGGTTCTACCAGGTACACTACTATAACTGGCGGCTCCACACTGTCCTCCTCTCCCCCACCCAGCTCTCCTCCACTACTGCCTGACTCCCCCCGCCCACTGTCTTCTGTAACACACACACATACAACACAATAGTTAGTCACCTCTAATAATGAAGGGTTCTACCAGGTACACTACTATAACTGGCGGCTCCACACTGTCCTCCTCTCCCCCACCCAGCTCTCCTCCACTACTGACTCCCCCCGCCCACTGTCCTCTAGTTAGAGTCACCTCTAATAATGAAGGGTTCTACCAGGTACACTACTATAACTAGCGGCTCCACACTGTCCCCCTCTCTCCCAGCCAGCTCTCCCTTACTGCTGCCTGACTCCCCCTTCCCACTGTCCTATACAAACAACACAATAGTAAGAGCAGACTGTAACGATAAATGTGTCCAATAGAAATTGTTACAGCTAATCAATGTGTTTAGTTTATAAAAAAAAAAACATATTTTAAGAAAATATAACTTTTTTTTTACTATCACAAGTCGATTTATCTATCTATTTATATACTTTTTTTATTACAAATTTGAAAATTATGCGCTGAAACTTGCGGTTTAAAAATATTTTGACACCCTAGTTCAAGATTCTTTTTATATTTAAAATTTGATGTTGTTGCCTTACTAACGCTAGAGTGGTGTCATGAGTTTTATCACACATTTGGTGTCATCGGTCTGTGAGACTGTTATCGATTTTATTTTTATTTTGTATACTAGCTGGCCCGACAGACTTCATCCTGTCCTAATTTGGTTTTATGTCACAGGCTCGTTTTTTTTTTCAAGATGAGCTCGTTCGCATGGCTCAAATCACGACCTGGTTAGGTTGGAGCTCGTTCGCTGCGCTCACTTGCCTTCAGGTTAGCTCGTTCGCTACGCTCACTTACCTTTTGGTTGCAAATTAGCTTTTATCATAAATTAATGGTGCTGCGCCCTGCTGGTAATCCTATAAACTTTTTAATGCTTTTGAACATCACTGAATCAAATGGTTTAGTTAAGCCAGCTGTTAAGATTATTTAATTCCATTTAACCCGTTGAGTGCCAAAAGCCGACTAGATCGGCTTTTAATTACATCGCGAGAAGTGCCAACTGCCGATGTGATCGGCATCACCTTCCGTCGCGAGAAATGCCAGCTGCCGATGACATCGGCGCCTGGCGTCTGCGCGAGAAATGCCCGCCGCCGATCTAATCGGCATTTTGTTAATTCATTGTAGCAAACGCATATTTAACAGTAAACGTTCTTACCACAACTCAAATTAAAGCTAAAGAGTTGTAGTACTTGAAAAATATGCGTTGGTAAACGAAAAAAGAGCGGATTAATTTTGTATAGCATTCTAAAGTCATGAGTGTTGAGGTTATACGGATGGCTGTGGCATTGGGCGTCACGCTGTCTGCCGCTCTCAGACTGCGTGGAACCAATTTTTTTTAACATGTGATTTGTCAATCTAGCGGGAATACCTTATTATTATTATGCTTTTGAATGTTAGGTTATGGCTTAGGTTTATGGCTTAGGTAAACCAGCGTGCCTTGTGTTTGTTTATACAGTATTGTATTGTGAGTTTCCCGAGCATTACTGTGGTTTGTTTCAAAATGAATAGGCCTAGTAATAAACGGCCACATTCTCCTGTGAGTGAGGGAACGCTTATACGTGATTTGTGTGAAAGTGGTGTGAATGTGAATGATGTCAACAATGACAATAGTGATGTCGAATCACTAGATGACATTGACTCTTCTGGGACAGAGAGTAGTGACGAAATGGTCGACGACACGGACGAGGACCCAGATTATGACCCAAGTACTACTCCAAGGCCTCGATTCCAGTTATCCTTGCCTCGTCCAAGAATTAATTTTGATTTGAACCTCCCCGGGACCTCCAGGGATTTTTCATTACATTTTTCAAGGCCTGATTTGGATGACTCTGAAGAGGATGCAGATGATCCGGCACCCGTAATGCCTCCTATAACTAATTCAAGGGGCTGTTCAAACCTACGAGGAAGAGCTACAGGGCGTGGTAGAGGCCGTCATAGAGGAGGTAGCCATCCAGAAATTCGTCCACAAAGTCCGGAAAGTAGTGATTGGGAAGAAGTGTTTGATGATGTTGACCGTGGATATGAACATTCGTTTGTTTTCAATGAACTGTCCGGGCCAAAACATGCCCCCCCCCCCCCCCCCCCCGTAATAGTCCTCCGATTTCATACTTCGATCTATTTTTCACGGCCACTTTGATAAACACATTTGTTGTGGAAACAAACAAATATGCTCAAAGGTTTATTGAATCAAGAGGAAATAACTTGTCACCAAACAGTCGAGTCAAGAAATGGGTGGATGTGACCATGTCTGAAATGAAGGGGTTTCTTTCAGTTGTTTTGAATATGGGCATCAACCAAAAGCCATCCATTCCAAGCTATTGGTTTGTTTCTTCGTCCCAAAACATCAAATGGTTTTCTAATATGTTCACGAGGAACAGATTCCAGATTTTGCTAAAGTTCTTCCACATTGTCGACTCGAACACGTTAGTGCCTCAAGGGAATCCATGCTATGACCCATGTGGAAGGTTTCAACCATTGATTGACCACTGCAACAGAATGTTTCGTTTTTTCTATACCCCTAATCAAAAGCTATCCGTAGATGAGTCGTTGGTTGGTACGAAGAAAAGAGTGGCCCTCACACAATATATCCCCCAAAAAAAACATCATCGTTGGGGCATCAAGTTGTGGGTGTTGTGCGACGCTGTAACGAACTACTGCTTCCAATTTTATTGTTACCGTGGAGCTGCTTTTGAAGAAAGGTTTCCATATATATTTGGACAATTTTTTTACAACAACTAAGCTGGCTAGGTTTTTGTACACTAATGAAACCCATTTGACCGGAACAGTGCGAGTTGGCAGAAAAGGTATTCCCAGACAGCTTCAAGGGAAATATGATGTAGGGAAGAAGGTGTACGTCCGAAAAGGGCCAATCCTACAGATGGCATATAGAGAAAAACCGACTAATAGGACACAGTTCATAATAATGTCAACTAATGCCAAAGCCAAAAATGTAAGATATACAATTAGGAGATCTGGGAAAGTTATCATCAAAAACAAACCCCAAATTGTATATGAATATAATCATGGGATGGGGGGCATCGACGGCACAGATCAGATGTTGTACACTTATTTGGACGAGAGGAGGACAATGAAGCACTGGAAGAAAGTTGTATTTAACATTTTTGGAAGAATGTGCCTGAACAGCTACGTAATTTATAAAATGAATACAGACAAACCAATGTCCAGACTACAATTCCAGATAGCTGTCATTGAATCACTAGCAGATGTTTGGCTTTCAGAAAAAAATCAAGCACGAGGTGAGAACGGAGGAGGAGATGCGCCGCAAGGAAATCGAACGTGTGGAGTGGAAAAGTTAGATGGAAAAAGGGAAAAGGATTGTATTGAATGCAGTGGATCTAAAAACGAAGAGGGGAAGAGGAGGCGCTCCAGGACTGTCTACGTCAAGTGTAAGAGAGGTCTGCACTTGGACTGTGTCACGCTGCACAACTGCAAGTTATAGTTCGAAAAAATAACCAAAAATGTATTATATATGTAAATAGTAGATATTAAGGAAACGTTTTATTGACTTGACATTTTTATTTTTATGAATTTACTTTTATTTAGTGTTTCTCAAGATTTTAAGTGAACTTACCTCAAGAGTTTCCAAACTTTTGTTCTCCAGTTCTTGAGCCACTTTCACTTATATGTAAGTAAAATATGTTTTTTATGTTGTTCATTTCCTTAAGTTTTATTTTTTACTTAATGTTCATTATATTTCAGCAACAAAAATATAAAAAATACAAAAAACTACATGTAAATGCCTGACGCTATTGAGTTTTAAGTTTATTTTAGGGTGTAGGCCTACAATGACAGATTTTTGCAAAAACACTACTTTTTTCTAAAATATTTTTTTTATTATTATTTATTGGCCAAAATTAATGAAAATTGGTGTGCTATGACAAAACAACATAGTAAATCGAAATAAGTATTGGTTAATGAGTTAAGTGTAATTTAGACAAAACTTTTTGGTTTGAAAAAATAAATATATTTTAAAAAATTTTTTATTTTATATCATTTTATTAGTTGTACAAAAAAATTTTGACCAGTTTTAATTTAAATATATATTAATGTTTAGAGCACATAGTTATCTTTAAAACAAAAAAAGAAATAAGGTTCTATCTATATTATAAGGGAAGTTATAGTTTTTTTTTATAAACATTGCAAAATCACATGATTTGGCCTGGCAATTCTGGTCGTCATATGGCTAGTAGCCCTGGCAGCTGTCGGTTACACACAGAAAACTCAGCTGGCTGTTCTCGCACAGAAAACAGCAAAAGTTCTTGGCACTCAAAGGGTTAAGTATGAGTACTCATAAGGTTAACATGGGAAACTCCAGAGCCACTGGGGCGGAGCCCTTTTGACGGATCTGTACCAAACTTCACAAAAACCATCCTTGAATAATGCTTAATAATGCCTGAAAGTTTCATTACAATCTGTCGGGCGGTTTCGGAGTCCATAAAGGACAAACAAACATACATACATACAAACAAACATACATACACACAAACAAACATACATTGGATTTTATATACATAGATAACTATAATCAAATTATTACTTCTATATATGTTTGCATGTTCATGGGGTTTATTGTGAAATAAACCCCCTCTGAGTGTTGGTAAAATAATTTTGAAAAAAAATTAATACATGTATCAAAAGTTGATAAAGTAAAACTTTTTTAAATACTGTTTTTAAATTACTAAAGCCTTTACTGCTACATTATGAAAGTTGATGAACTAGTTTATGTAAACAAACATAAACCATCAGAAAGTTTGACCGAGACTTCAAATAATGCCTATTTAACCCATAGAGTTATGATGATTTTGATTTGCCTACACCATTATTGGTGTCTTCGGACTGTGAGACCGTCTTCGTATTTTATAAATACCTTATGTAGGTATATAACTATGGAAATACAAGATATATATATATACTATGTAAAATTATTACAATTATATAATTTTACATTATACAGGGTGTCTCAGACCACCTTGTATAGCTTGTATAGCTATTGTAGGCTTGTATAGCTCCAATATGAAAGCAAATGGAAACCTAATTGCAACTGGAACCCCCTATTTTGACCCCAAGGAATTCAGCTAAATTATTTTCAACCCCAAAAAAGCACCCCAAAGGGCAGATTTTGGGGGGTGGGGGTGGTTTTTGGGAAATTTTCAAATTTAAAGGGGGGTCGTGTTATACATCTTTTTGAAGGTCCTTTAGTCCTGAGTATTTTAGTGGAAAAAGATATCAATTATCTTCATCCCTATTTACAGGGTGTTCAAAAACGTACAAATACCCCCGCCGCAGCAAACCTACAGACTAAGCGAATTTCCATTTGACTGATTGGATTTACACTGAAATGTCTACTTAAAAATATAGCATTTATTCCCGATTTAAATAGAATTAGTTTAACAAATACTTAGGTTTGCTGCATCAGGGAGGGTAAAACTGTTTTTTTTGTAAAATGTTAATAGTTAGTAAGAAATAAAAACATTTTCCAAATTTGATCAAAATATGTTCATAAACAAGCAAACTACAACAGTTTACTCATTCTCCATAAGAATAACATGGGAATTTTAAATTTACAATTTTTTGGAATTTTCTCCGTAACCATTAGGCGTATAATAACGCTTCAATATACTAAATTATTTGTTTTTTTAAGCTCTACAAAATGGTTTGGAAATAAATTGCTAAATTTTATGTTTTTTGGGTCAAAAATGGGAAAACCCTATTTTTACCCCATAAAACCCCCCGTAAACACCCGTTCCCATGGTCCGATCATGCTGGATCGCGAACTCGTTTGAATAAACGTAGGTTTACACGTTTATACCAAATTTCATCAAAATCCGATCATTTTTGCTCGAGTTATCGTGCTGACGGACACACATATATATATATATATATATATATATAAATATATATATATATATATGAATTTGAACGGATTGTGTTTTTGGCCTCTAGGGACCTCAAAACGAAAAAAAAAATCGGTCCCGCGTCCAGGTCTTACCATGAGTACTACGGTAATAGCTTATTCCCTATATGGGAAATTCGCTAAAAATAGACCTTTGAACTACTTTTCACTGTAAAGAGGTGGAATTTCGTGGGGGGTTCAAATTTTGATAACACTTTAATTAATAAATGAGCTTTCAAAAAACTCTGGTTTCAACCCTTTTGCTATCTTTTTACTTATGTTACGCATTTTCAAACTTTTTGAAGTTTCAAAAGCTGTTATCTCAAAAATTTCAAATGGCAACATGGGTTTCATTACAAACCACATTGTAGCCCTTAAAATTTGCTATAATTTTTGTATTAAATGTTTTTGGTATCTTCATTGGTTAAAGAGATATAGCAAAACTAGTGTATTTTAATGTTTTATTAAATGGTATTCAAAGTGTTTGCTGTTGTAAATTTACACGTCTAGGTCTCAATTAAAACTAATTATGTTAAAAAATTAAAATACTACCCAGATTGTTAAACTTTGGAGGATTAATAAAGGAAAAAACACAACTGCAAATATTCTTAGTTATTTTAAAATTACAAAGTTCTAATTGCTTTGAATGAATACTGTCTATAAATGCTACTGGTAAATAAAAAAAATCATCACGAAATCAATGAGCGTGTGCGTGAAACTGGTCACGTTTGATAAGATAAAACAAATTATAAGGAACTTACTGGATCTGTAAAAGAGGTGAATGCACCTGCGGTAGTAAAATAGCAATACAGTACCATAATTGTGGAGAAGAAGTACTACGTGCATAAACAGAGTTGGGGTTTGCATGGAACAAAATGGAAGGCAATTTAAGCATTTGTAGAAGTCCATCGGTATGTAGGCTATTAATGCTGATTCAAACAAATTATTTATTCAAAGCACTATTAGAGCCATGAAATTGTAAAATAACTAAGAATATTTGCAGTTGTGTTCTTTCCTTTATCAATCTTCCAAGATCAACAATCTGAGTACTATTTTATTTTTTTAGACAAGATTTTGTTTTAATTGAGACCTAGTGGTGTACATTTGCAACAGCAAACACTTTGAATACCATTTAATAAAACATTAAAATACACTAATTTTGTTATATCTCTTTAACCAATGAAGATACCAAAAAACATTAAATACAAAAGTTATAGCAAATTTTAAGGGCTACAATGTGGTTTGTAATGAAACCCATGTTGCCTTTTGAAATTTTTGAGATAACAGCTTTTGAAACTTCAAAAAGTTTGAAAATGCGTAACATAAGTAAAAAGATAGCAAAAGGGTTGAAACCAGAGTTTTTTGAAAGCTCATTTATTGATTAAAGTGTTATCAAAATTTGAACCCCCCACGAAATTCCACCTCTTTACAGTGAAAAGTAGTTCAAAGGTCTATTTTTTGTACGTTTTTGAACACCCTGTAAATAGGGATGAAGATAATTTAAATCTTTTTCCACTAAAATACTCAGGACTAAAGGAACTTCAAAAAGAGGAAGAACACGACCCCCCTTTACATTTGAAAATTTCCCAAAAACCACCCCCACCCCCCAAAATCTGCCCTTTGGGGTGCTTTTTTGGGGTTGAAAATAATTTAGCTGAATTCCTTGGGGTCAAAATAGGGGGGTTCCAGTTGCAATTAGGTTTCCATTTGCTTTCATATTGGAGCTATACAAGCCGGCCGGGTGGTCTGAGACACCCTGTATACATGTATAACATTATTATTAAATTATTATTGTACATAGTATTACATTATACATAGTAATATTATTTATTTTAGGTGTCTTCGGTCCGTTGGACCAATCACGGGTTGGTTGTCTTCGGTGTATGGGACCGAATTACGCAATTGCAGACAAATCTGTAACCTCAAAATTTTGCCCCAGCGTCTGGTGGTAGACTGAGTCGAGGTAGGGAGGGAGCAGGAGACACAAGTCCAGAATCCTAGCGGGGGGAGCAGGAACTTAAAAATATAACGACATCGGACTCACAGAACGAAGACACCAATCTAGGGCGGATTTTCATAAACATTGCTTTAGCAACAAAGTAGGTCTACAGTCAAACTCGAACCTAGTTTAAGGGTAGGTTTAATTGATACAATTCACCACAAGTGTATAGTCTAGGCCTACAACAAATTTGGTTCAATTCAATTCCATTCAAAACTTCTTTATTCTGTAGGCTAACATGTAAATTGTTTACAAAGAATAGTCAGACCAACATGATAAGTCTGATTTAAGAACTCATTGAAGAAAAGAGCACACATGTTTATTGTATAATTAGTAAGGACTGTAAAAATTACATATCACGTCATACAATAGTATATATAGACCTACTGAATGAGATTCAAATCTAAATACAACTGATTTTCATTGCTAATAAATTAAAAGAATTAAAAATCCATTAACTTAGGCCATTAATATCACAATAAATTAGGTACCGAAAAAGGAATGCTTAACTGACATATAGAATATTATATTAAATCAAGAGCAAATAAAATGAAATGCCAACTTGGCAACATAAGCAGAGACACTAGTTGCCCGTTCCATCAAAACCGTTCGATGGAACGGTTTAATATACATTGGTGATCGTTTCCCCCACGATCACGATTTTCAACTATGCAAAATAAGAAACATCGGTGATTTCTGGAAGATTTTTTGGCTATTATTTCAACATTTTTATTTCCTGTACTTCTTGACTTCTTACAAAATTCACGTACAATTTACCGATTTACTCCTAGTCACCAAAATTTACGTATAATTACTGGTTTTGAGGTTGGCTGGACACCCGGTTAAACAACTACCTATCTGTTGTGTATTTGTAACTTAAAATAAGTTTTTTAAGATAATTGATAATTTATATTTCAGTTGACACAACTAAAAGCATAGTTCTTTGCATCTTTGTTTTTTGTAGCTCTCACATCATGTCATTGTGTTTTTATTGAGTTATCCATTGTTGGTTGATTATTAACATAAGCAGATAGCAGATAGCATATGTGGTGTACAAACCTTGATCAGAAGACTTGGGAGTGGAGGGCTGCTTGTCAGAGTTGTCAGGGGTGGAGGGGGGAGGCATGGGAGATGGGGTGGGGGTAGGTCTTGGAGGAGAGTTACCCTCCGGAGGGTCTAACAGTGTCCGGTCCATAGGAACTTGTGACAGATGGGGCGCTAGGTGATGCCTGCACACCTGTTAAAAACATTTACACAATTAACCATACACTGAAAATAAAGAGTCCTGTCTAAGATCTATTACCAAGACCATAGCACAAATAATCATATAAAATAAATACAATTTTCAATTTGTTACCAACTAAATCCCTCATTAATCCATCAAAGATGATTTTATATAACAGTTAACAATGCTATTACAGCTGCTGTATATTCACATTAGAAATTAATGATCAAATGATCAACAGAAATGATCACTATTGAAATAATATAGGGATGGTCAAGTCTCGAAATTTCGGGAAATTTTAAATCTCGTTACACGAGACAAGATTTCTTTTTGGCCGAGATTTTTATCGAGACAAGAATTAAAAAAAAAAAAAAAAAAAAAAAAAAAAAAAAATTAAAAACGCCTGCAGAAAGTCAATGCAATGGCAATACAGGAGCAGGTTGTAATTGCGTTTCCTTTGCGAAGGCGTTCTTATTTAATTAATTCTTTAAATATAAATATTACTTTAATAACATTTGAGAAGTTTTGTTAAGTGTAAGCAGTGTGAGGAATGTTTTATTACTATAAAAAGTCAAAACAAGTAACTATTTTATAAAAATTAATATTGCTTTTATTTTATGATTTATTCTATTTTAGGATAAGTTGAACTCTATCCTAACTGATATCACTATGTTTCCTAATCGTAGGCCTTTTTAATAAGTTAGGCGTGATTAATAAAAAAATGTTATGCTGATGTTTTTTAATAAAAGATTGTAAATATTCTTGCCTATTATCATTATTTTTGTATTTAAACAGTCATAAAAATAAGAAATGAGAAATAAAAAATCTCGTCTCGTCTCGTCTTGAACTAAAAATCCAATCTCGTCCATCCCTAAAATAATATTTTCTCAATCTTGCTAATTAAAAAATTGTAGATGTCTGGGTGCACCGAAATCTTGCCTAATTGCCGTAGTGGTTTGGTACAGTATTTTACTCTGTACAATTTTGATTTGATACACCTTATATTTAGGAATGGACGGAATTGAATTTTTGGTTCGGGACGGGATGGAACGGGACTTTTATTTCCTTCCCAATTTTCGGGACGGGGCGGGACGGGATTTTTTTCTATGCTTAAAAATAAAGTCTCGAGTATTGCAGTTACCAAAAAAGTCAAACAAAATCAATTTTTACCGTTTGTGGCCTATCTATAAAAACCAAAAAATGGTTTGGTTACAACAATTTACAGGTGCCTATAGAAACATGTCGGTATGACTCCGCGGTCATGGCGTCATCGTTGGTATGACTCCGCGGTCACGACGTGATCGTCGGTATGACTCCGCGGTCACGGCGTAATCGTCGATATGACTCCGCGGACACAGGATGATCGTCGGTATGACTCGCGGTCACAGCAAGATCATCGGTATGACTCCGCGGCCACGGCGCGATCGTCGTTATGACTCCGCGGTCACGGGGTGATTGTTGGTATGACTCGCGATCACAGCATGATCGTTGGTATGACTCTGCGGTCATGGGACGATCGTCGGCATGACTCCGTGGTCACAGCGTGATCGTCGAAATGACTTCTTGGTCACGACGTGATTGCCGGTATGACTACGCAGTCATGGAGTGATCGTTGGTATGACTCTGCTGTCATGGGACGATCGTCGGTATGACTCCGCAGTCACGAGACGATCGTCGTCAGGACTCCGTGGTTACGGCGTGATCGTCGGTATGACTCGCGATCACGGTATGATCGTCGGTATGACTCCGCAGTCACGGCAAAATCACTGGTATGGCTCAGCGGTAGAGGTGTGCGGATATCCGAAAAATCGGGTCGGTTCGGATATCCGTATCCGAACCGGGCCCAAATACGATATCCGACACTATCCGTTATATATATCCGACTTTTTCGGATAGACAATATATTTTGACGTTTTGGACAGAAAACTAAATCTCCATAGCCACCGTTAGTTTCCCAGGACAAAATTACAGCAATACGTTTCCAACGACCTAACAGCAAACGGCAAAGAAGCCGCATGATGCAATACTGATAACTAGTTTAGTCGTTATCAGCTGTTTTGCTTTACGATTAGATTCGTCTGGAACGAACAGACATAAAGCAGAAAAGAACTACCATGGTCAATTGAAAGTCAACTCGTGCTTGTCTCGCTCCTGATACTAGGGGCGCTGCGTAATAGTTTTTTTTACAGTACTGTTTCAAAGTAGAAAAATCTAGCCTACTACTGTGATGTTACGTAAACAATAGATTTAATGTTTCCCGAAAAAAAGTCAAAATAGAAACAATAGAAAGGCAACACAATAGAAGGGTGGGAGGGGTTGGGCAATGACCTCGAAAGGAGCGCGGGTAGTGAGTCAAGTAGGACCGGAGGGGGAAGGGGTGGGTAAGACCTTGAAGCTATGAGCTATAGACTTGCACTACTTCCCTAAACCTAAAGGACTGGCCGGCGAGTGGTATTCCAATCACAGGACAAGATACGTTGTTTTTTGGGTATTCATTGCCCGGTTTGACATTGGATTGTCTTACTGTGTAGAAACTTTGAATAATAAAAAATAAAGTTAGAACTAACCACAATTATTTAGCATTGATTGTGTACATATTAAATGATTAAACTATAGGGACCATGGATATATACAAACTTTTGTCGTAATTTTAATTTCAACATCGAAATACAATATTGCACAATCGTGATATTTTAGGTCAGTGACCTTTATTATGTATCCGGTATTGCTGTTTCAGAAGAGAAGCACGTTGATAAATTATAAATTGATATTCCCGTGGTTAAAAAGAATTATTTTATAAACCTATAAAACAAAATCATAAAATCTTACATAAATATAGCAATAACAGAAATTGTAAAAAGGGTATAAAGATAACGACGTCGTTATTCTTTCTCTTTGTTCTTCTATTTCTTGGGTTACCCTTCATTACGCATTCAACAAGTTGCCATGGTTACTAATCATCCATCTCGTTATCAGCTTTTGTGACATAGGGCACACCAGGAGGGTAAAACTTGACGAAAATCGGTTAATTTTTACCTATTATTTAATTACCAATGAATGTACTACTTTATTGGTATTTGGTACTGTATTAATAAGGCTGGACGCACACTGATCCAGCATTTCACCTGAAGCAAAATGTTGCACAACGATTTGCTTTAAGAGTTTTGTTTCTTTGCTTCTCCAGTGTGCGAGAGGTTCAAGCATGATGCAGCATTTGGTTTCAAGCAAAAATAAATATTATTTGTACTGGTACTCTACGGTATTGTTTTAACATGTGTGACGAGGAAGTCAACGTAGCTATTGCTGTATGTCAGTTTTTGCAAATGCTAGACTAAGAAAGAAAACATGGGGTTCACTCAAACAATCAGATGATAGACATTAATGCTCTCAGAAATTAAATCAGATCCAGGGAAATTTTACAATTATTATTGTCGAATACTTGCTACACTATTTTATTGGAAGGGTTTTTAATAACGTAAGTGATATCGTTAGAAATTATTATTTGATAATGTCGTAATGGTTATAAATAATGAACTAAATAACATGGGTTGTTTCTTAATTATCTACTACCTGTATGGTTATCAAAGTGGTAGCAAGAAAAATTAAACAACGATGTGGGAAATTCAAAAAAATATAATTTTTAAGTTGTAATGAAACTTTAAAATGCAATTTTCAAAGAGTAATTTTGTAAACAACAAAAGGTCGATTGAATTTTGAAAGCTTTACTAGCTAGAAGGGATTTGGCGCATGCGCGGAACGTTTTGCTCCTTGAAACATCAAACATTGTGCTCTATGGGATCCATTCGTCGAGCAACTGCTCAAATGTTTCCAGGCGTTGCGAGGCGCCTCGCAACGTTTGCTTGATCAGTGTGCGGCGTCCCATTGAAATACATGGAGCGCTCGTACCCAGCGAAACATTTTGCCTCGCAACACTTCCTTCAGGTGAAATGCTTGATCTGTGTGCGTCCGGCCTAATCGGTCAAAATTGACGATTTTTGTCAAATTTTACACCAAATTTATTTAAATTTCAAGGAGAATATTAATAAAACAATTATTACCAAATATTTGTATTCATTTAAAAGATTGATTTGTGGTATTGGGTTCCCCACTGAGTGCAGCCTAGCGGCACTAATGAGGGTCGGACCTTCTTGGGGGTGAACAATAGACGGCTTATCAGACCATCCCCTCCCGCGTGGTCTGGAGAAAGCTTGTAAACAAACTATTGCACAAGCGTGACTTGACATTGAGCCACTTCAACTATAATTTTGTCAAATGAACTGTGATGTTTCAAAATCAAAAACAATAATTTGGGACCATACCGCTTAACAATAATGGACTGCAATTATTGTTGAACATACAATCCATTTTTAACAAACTAAGATTATACGATTCAAATACAATTATAAAAATTATCTTGGTATTTTAATTTTACTTGGGGTGATGAAGTTATGTAGGCTAGTGTAATTCTCGGTTCATCAAGGTTCTACTGAATTATGTTTGGCAGTGAATAAGTGTAGAATGCAATTTATAAATTCAGGGATACACACCTTTTACACAGTTATAAAGTCTAATTTAATTGCCCAACATCAAATCGTGAGCTAGAGCCCATCTTAGTGCATTAGTGATGTTTTCTAAACTTGGCAAACCCGCAAAATGCCAATTAAGGCCAATAATCCGTTCCAAAAACGTAAGGAAATACAATGTGAAAATAAACTTGAGATCGAACTCCTTGGCTTGTGAGAACCAGGAAACAAGATAAAACATAACCTCAAGTAAACAAGCCCAAACGTTTGACATCAGTCCTGCTGAGCTAAGGTGTTGTGTGAAGATTTCGGCTGCTAGTGTACTTAATTCAAGCAACCAACTTTTGAAAATAAATGTTGTGAATTGTGATTTTTAAGAGAGAGAAAACTGTGGACTTGGCTAATTTGAAATTCTATAGTTCAAAATCGTCATTTAAGTTTATTTACACAGCTTTACATTGTTTTATAGGTTAAAAATACATATGCAGCTTATTATTAACCGCGCGGAACTATCCGAATCCGAAAATATCCGAATCCGAATCTCCCAATATCCCATCCGATCCGAACCGAGCCTCAACTATCCGATCCGAAATGAAACCGCAGTAGTGGAGGACAGGAAGTCAGGACAGTTTGGTTGTTTCCGCGGTCACGGGGTGTTCGACGGTATGACTCGTGGTCATGGCATGATCGTCGGTATGACTCCGCGGCCACGGTGCGATCGTCGTTATGACTCCGCGGTCACGGGGTGATCGTCGGTATGACTCTGCGGTTACGGCGCGACTGTCGGTATGACTCGAGGTCTCGGCGGGATCGTTGGTCACAGCGCGATCGTCGAAATGACTTCGCCTCCTGCGTCCGCGGAACATCTCTCGCGATAGCGGCGTTATCGCCGATGATTTTGGCTAAAATAAGACACCTCAATATAGCGAATTTATCATTGTCAGAACCTCTACATTGCGAATTTAACCTCTGCATAACGAATTGTCTACGTCTTTCCCTCGATATAACAAATCCCCCACCCCATTATTGTTTTTGAATAATCTGTTTCTTTATCAAATGAAATGGAAAGGTGACGTCATCGCTTGCGCTAACATTCGTCTGCTCCGTTTTACGTGGTTTTACACATCTCTGTCTGCTTTCGCTGTGCGCGCTATGTTGCAACTGAGAACTGATTTCAAACATTCACTGAGGACTGATGACGACGTAATGTTTAGTAAGCTGTGATTGGGCGGTAAGTAACTATGGTGAATTGTACAATTTTTGGATGAAGAGAAACTAAGAAAGAATATAAAAACAAAACCAAAGAGAAAGAATAGCAACATCATTCCTTTTTCGAGTGTTTTTATTATCTTTAAGTTGGCTATGATTATACACTTTTATAATGTCTTATCTAATAATTTACTGTATTGTTTTTCAATACGATTTGTTTCAGCAACACCAATGCTATAGTTAATGATTATTATCGACATTCCTCTGTTGTGATAAATCAGTACTGTATCACGAGCAGTAGCTTACAAAACTTTCTACTACTGTTTTGTTTTGTTCTTTACATGGTTTATGACTACGCAATACAGTGTTTGGCTAGGTTTTAGGAGGGTTAGAACAAGCTGTGATTTTAAACTTACAGTTTTTTAACCTGTACCAAGGTCAATGCCATTGTCATGATTGCGCAATATTCAAGATCCCTCCCCTTTATTATGCCGGATAATTAAGGTTCTACTGTACAATGTTAACAGTACTGTAAAGTATTGTAGCCTATGCTACTTTAATTGTGTTTTAATGATGTCTAATCCCGACCTATATTGACCAACGCTGGTTCTGAACCTCGACTTAGCGAAATTCCTGCAAACATAACCTCTATATAACGAACCTCGTTTTAACGAAACCCTTGATATAACGAATATTCAGTTCGGTCCCTTCAGATTCCTCAGATACTGAGGTTGGACTGTATTTGAATTAAGAGACAAACACTGAGACATGGCCTTGCTATATAAGTTATTTGCATCAAAAGACAAACACTGAGTCATACCCTTGCCATATAAGTTATTTGCATCAAGAGACAAATACTGAGTCATGGCCTTGCCACATAAGTTATTTGCATCAAAAGACAAACACTGAGTCATGCATGGCCTTGCCATATAAGTTATTTGCATCAAGAGACAAACACTCGGGGAAAAAACGGTCTTGTACATGGATACAGACAGCTTTGTGTTAGTAAAAAAATCGGTGCTGTACAGTGATACAGACAGCTTTGTGTTTAGTAAACAAATCGGGGTTGTACAGTGATACAGACAGCTTTGTGCTAGTAAAAACATTCGGGGTTGTAGAGTGATACAGACAGCTTTGTGTTAGTAAAAAAATCGGTGTTGTACAGTGATACAGACAGCTTTGTGTTAGTAAAAAATCGGGGTTGTACAGTGATACAGACATCTTTGTGCTAGTAAAAATATTCGGGGTTGTAGAGTGATACAGACAGCTTTGTGTTAGTAAAAAAATCGGTGTTGTACAGTGATACAGACAGCTTTGTGTTTAGTAAACAAATCGGGGTTGTACAGTGATACAGACATCTTTGTGTTTAGTAAACAAATCGGGGTTGTAGAGTGATACAGACAGCTTTGTGTTAGTAAAAAAATCGGTGTTGTACAGTGATACAGACAGCTTTGTGTTGGTAAAGAAATCGGGGTTGTAGAGTGAAATAGACAGCTTTTTGTCTTAGTAAAAAATCGGTGTTGTACACTGATACAGACAGCTTTGTGTTGGTAAAAAATCGGGGTTGTACAGTGATACAGACAGCTTTTTGTGTTGGTAAAAAATCGGGGTTGTACAGTGATACAGACAGCTTTATGTTAGTAAAAAAATCGGTGTTGTACAGTGATACAGACAGCTTTGTGTTGGTAAAAAATCGGGGTTGTAGAGTGATACAGACAGCTTTGTGTTAGTAAAAAAATCGGTGTTGTACAGTGATACAGACAGCTTTGTGTTTAGTAAACAAATCGGGGTTGTACAGTGATTCAGACAGCTTTGTGCTAGTAAAAATATTCGGGGTTGTATAGTGATACAGACAGCTTTGTGTTAGTAAAAAAATCGGTGTTGTACAGTGATACAGACAGCTTTGTGCTAGGAAACAATCGGAAAAAAATTTGAAAAAATCGGATCCATCAAAACCGGATCCAGCCCAAGATCCGGAATTTTTTGGATCCGATCCGGTGCCGGTTCTAGCTCGGATCCGGCGGATCCGGTAGTCCGATATCCGGATCCGACCATCACTAATTATTTCCATGATAAAGTAGGTTTGGATCTAAAGCGGGCTACACACGGTCAGTTTGATGTGTCAGTTTGGTGTGTTCATTTCTAACTGTCAGTTCTAACTGAACGACACATTCGCACCCACACGCTCACTTCGGTGTGTCAGTTCGATGTGCTACCTGGAAGCTTCAACCTCAAGTAAGCTAATCGCTCGTGTTGTGTGTTAAATTGTGTGTTAACATTATGGACAAAGAACTGTTATTGTTAAGTGTGGTGGCTTGTGTAGTGGTGAAAAGGATAAAGCGCAGAATTCAACAAAATGTGGACGTAATCTTCCACAAACATTCTTCACCTCTGAACAGTTGTATAAAATCTAAAAGAAAATCTTTACTCCAACTAACCATAGTCACTCGGTATACAAACACAGTGTCAGGAAGGAATGCAGACGAGATGATGTCTAGAAAAGCAGACGCACAAAGACAAACTCCATCAAAACGTATGTATAGGCCTCTTCAAGTGACTGCTGCGCATGCTCAAATACCGATTTGACTGAACTGAACTGACGAGACGGTACACACGCTCAATTCGGACTGACATCAGTTCGGTGTGCCAGAAGGTTTTTTATGTCTTGGTTTTTATTATGTAAGGGAATTAGAATAAGTCTAATTTTAATTTAAATATTCATGCAAAAGTGTTTTTAAATTTGAGGTAAAGGGGTTAAATAAGTCTAGGTGTGTTACTTAGTGATGTACTCACTTGAGCATACAGTTTGAGCATGTTGGTGGTGGAGTTGTCCCCTAGCATGGTAAACCACTCATCTACAGGCTCTTTTGCCAGTTTGATGGCTGCCTTGTTGCCTACCCTCAGTATTCCATCCCTCAAGACCTTAGTGATTGGACAATGCCTGCCTAGTCGGCACATCTGCAGACAATACAGAGGCAAAGTTAACAAAATCAACAAAATACTTGAAATCTAAAAGAAATCAAAAGAAATCTATACATATAATACGCTAAGCCGATTTTTGTGATGAGAACTCCTCCCTCATTTTTGGACCAATTTTGATGATTAAAGTGTCAAAAGAATGGCCCTGAACTGTAGTTTTGCAAAGTGTTTTTATTTTTTTGAAATCTTTATTAGTTCGGGCTGGATCTTCCATCAAAGTTGGGTTGTCTCCCATAAGATTAACATGGGGGAATCCAAATATTTAATTGGAAACTTTGTCTCCACTAATTTGAACTAATCTCCACTAATTGTCTTCCATTAAATTGGGTTGTGCATGTTTACTAGCGCTACTCAGCAACAAAAACAATTTAATTTATCTCTAAAAAATATATTCTTAAAGTGCACTGAGCAGCAGCCTAAAAATACTATGTAACTTCCTCATATAGTCTAATAACACCCAAACACAAAAACCTTGCCTAAAATGGTACCTATCTTGACAAATTATTTGCAGTGGCCTATATTACGGATCATGGCCCACTGGGTTGGTAACATTATTGAAAATAACATGATATTTTGGCTGTAAGAGTACTAGGGATGGTCAAGTCTCGAAATTTCGGGAAATTTTCGGGAAATTTTAAATCTTGTTACACGAGACGAGATTTCTTTTTGGCCGAGATTTTTATCGAAACGAGAAAAAAAAAAACAAAAAAAATTAAAAACGCCTAAATAAAGTCAATGCAATACCCGTAATACAGGAGCGTGTTGTAGTTGCGTTTCCATTGCGAAGGCGTTCTTATTTAATTAATTCTTTAAATGTAAATATTACTTTAATTATTTTAATAATATTACTTTAATAACATTTGAGAAGTTTTGTTAAGTGTGAGCAGTGTGAGGAATGTTTTATTACTATAAAAAGTCAAAACAAGTAACTATTTTATAAAAATTAATATTGTTTTTATTTTATGATTTATTTTATTTTAGGATAAGTTGAACTCTATCCTAACTGATATCACTATGTTTCCTAATCGTAGGCATTTTTAATAAGTTAGGCGTGATTAATAAAAAAATGTTATGCTGATGTTTTTTATTAAAAGATTGTAAATATTCTTGCCTATTATCATTATTTTTGTATTTAAACAGTCATCTAACAATGTTACAAAATCAGGTAAAAATTTTGAACGTGCATTTCCCGTTGTGTATGAGAAGGGAAATCCCGTCTCGATCTCGTCTCGAAATTTTATGAGAAATAAAAAATCTCGTCTCGTCTCGTCTCGAACTAAAAATCCAATCTCGTCCATCCCTGGTAAATACTATTAAGCAGCTACTGTCATGAGAGAAAGGTCATATTCCTTTTGAACTAGATCACATTATCCTTTATAAAATACATTGATTAACAATGCATGTAAACGTCAATATTTACATAACAGCCAATTTACAAAAAAATTGGCAGTAAGCTTTGTACAGTATGTTTTTCTCTTTGGAAATGCCACATTGCTATTTCAATTGTATTACTTGTTGCCAATGAAGCCACACGACCATATAAACGAATAGGCCCCTAACCGTCGATTTCGACGGGGTTCACCTAGTCTTATATATTAACTGTGACAGGATTTTACTTCATGATTCTGAATCAACCACTTGACAGATTTTCATGATTTTTGTGTTGAAAGAAAGATGAAAGGAAGGGAATGTCAAAGCCATGAATTTAGTTTAGGCCTAGGGTTTCAGTTGTTTATGTGGTTTTAATTTTTTTATAGTCTAGCAGCCGCTATCACTTAAGTTTTTTTTTTCAATGTATAATTTGGTTTAACTAACAGCTGGTTTTAAGACTCTCGCCAAAATGTTTACGTTATGAGTTGTTTACAAAAATATCGATCGTCGGTAGGCACATTACATATTTTTACAATGTAACTAAATGTAGATTTTTCTTACCATAAAGCATTTGCGTTTTCAGGAAATGTGTAATTATGAACTATATATCCTAAACACTTGCACATAATCAAGTTTTGTCGTAAATATAATCTGTGTAAATATAGTTTATGCTGTGGAACTTTGCGAGATAAAAAAAAATGGTTTGTTCTAGGGAGATTGACTTTGCTCCAAGATGAGTAAATATTAAATATTGACTTCTGTCAAGTACAATTTCCAAACATGGCCAAACAGGAAGACTTAGCATATTTTACACACAGTTATTTCACATCAGCATTACTGTATCAAAGTAACTCCTAGAAACGGAATAAAAGACTTTTGTGCAATGACAATAACACACTCATGAGGAGCTCATTCAGCTATGTTCTATTTAAATTAAAATTTGACCACAGCTGGTCCATATATGGGATGTCTACTCCAATATCCACAAGTCAATGACACGACTCAGATAAATAGAGGCTGAATAAAACAAAACCAATGTCACATTGCCAGTACATACCTCATATGTGGAACTAAGTTCCCGGAAGAAGTTTCTGACGGAGGAGAGTATGTGGTCGTTATCTGGCGCTACGACGACATAGGCGATGTCTCTAGCGTAAGAGTAAGGTTCTAACAGCAGCTTCTCCCAATAGTGTAGGGCGTAAGGAGCGACAGAAAGCCAGTCCTTCTCATGTCCCACTACTACCTTGGGAATCGGCTGAGGTTCACACCGGTCGTCCGTACCTACACACACACACACACATACAGGATACAGACCGTCTATGATATGCTGTTAAAGGCACTGTTGGGGTTTAGCTAGTTTACCTCAGAAATCAAAAATGTGGGATACACATCCGTGTTCTCTGGTCACCACATATGTTTAATTTTAAACTTCTTGAGAGTGACCTATTGTCATATTTTTTATGAATTAACTATATCCACATAGACTTTAGACGACATTAGACATAATTTATTTGCACATAACATTCTTTTAGATGTGATAGACTAGAAAAATACAAAGTACAAAGTAACAGGGAAAAAATACCTAGCCAAATAATGTTAATACAGTAGTTAAGAAAATTCAAAACAAAAAATTAACTCAATTCTTTTATTTTATAAAACGCACGTTCAAGGAGTCCATTTTTCAATGTTTCTTGAAACTTGTTTGAACTCATTTTTTTATAATATACCGGTAGTTAATTATACACTTTTAAACCTGCGTACAAAGGACTTTTTTCAGATAAGGTCAAACGGTGATTTGGTAATCTGAAAATTGTATCTTTTCTTGTACTATAGTTGTGCGTGAATTTAAATGAATCCGGGAGGTTATTTTTTATATTGTGTATGTAATTTAATAATTCAAATATGTTTAATCCTGTGAGTGTTTGGATTTTTTAATTTTGAAAATGTAATTTACAAGGACTTCTGGGGTGGGAATTAGTCATAATTTGGATGATTTTTTTCTGAAGTCTGAAAATAGTTTTTGCATCAGTTGCCTGTCCCCACAAAATCACACCATACCTCAAGATGGATTACTACATACGCATAATGAACCATTTTAAGTACTTCAATGGTGACACATTCTCTCAAGTGGACAAAGACAGATGATGCAGATCAATTTTTTTTCTTTACAACATCTAGATGCACATTCCAGTTAACATTTTCATCTAGATGAATACCTAGGAATTTATTTGAATGGACTAAATTGGAAAAACTATTTAATTCTCTTTCATTTCTGACTGTAAAATTTGATAATTTGGGTTTTATCCACATTGAGTTTAAGGCCATTTATTTTAAACCAATTTTCCATTTCTTTCATAACTTCTGTGAGAGATGTAAGAAGCTCTTCTCTACTATTTTCTTTAATGATTGCAGTAGTATTGTCAGCAAACAGAATCAGATCTCTATTAATAGCTTTAGGGAGGTCATTTTCATTTATGTAGATTAAAAAGAAAAGGGGACCTAAAATGGAGCCTTGAGGCACCCCAAGCTTTATACATTTCCAATGTGAGAAATGCCTGGTTCCTCCATCAGAAATTACAGTTCTTTGTTTCCGATCTGAAAGGTATGATCTAATTAGGGAAAGACAACTTCCTGAAATTCCATAGTCATATAGTTTTTGAAGCAATAGTGAATGATCGACACAATCAAAGGCCTTGGATAGATCACAGAAGACACCAGTTGCATTCCTTGACCCATCCAAAGCCTCCGATACCTCATTAATAAAGAGCTGTATTTGTTCCAACGTTTTTCCTGAAACTAAATTGATATTGATAAAACAGATTATTATGTTCAAAAAAACAAACTAATTTGTTATTTATAACTTTATCAAAGACTTAAGAAAAAAATTCTTAAAACTGATATTGGACGGTAATTGCTGATAACTGACCTAGAGCCTTTTTTGAAAATTGGAGTTATTTGTGAGTATTTAAGTTTGTCTGGGAAAATTACATTTGTTAAACACTGATTTATGATAATAGATAAGGGTCCAGAAATTAAATTTACAGCAGCTTTAATTAATTTGATCGGTACTTCATCCCAACCCACAGAAGTTTTGTTTTTTAGGGAATGAATAATTTTTTCCACTTCGCCCTTACTAATCTGCTGCAGATTACACAACCAATTTCCTTCATCTCTACAATAGTTTTGAACATATTCATGAACTCCTTGCACGGTGACCTTTGGTACATTAATGTTCACAGCTGTTTCGGCAAAGAAAGTGTTGAATATTCTAGTAATATCCTGAGGTTTACATATATCTTTGTCATTATTAATTAAAAATAATTTGCCATCAGTTTTTGTTTTTTACAAGACCAAGTTCTTTATTAACAACTTGCCAAGCAGCTTTAGACTTATTTTCAGACTTTTCTATGTAGTCACCATTTGCAATTATTTTACACAAAGAGTACACAAAGAGCATATTGTGGTCAACAAACATTAACTGTTAGTAGTACTTCTTCTAAGGTAAGCTAGCTGATATTCCCATTTATGCTACAATTAAAATTCTTGGCCTAGAGCATTTCCTTGAACAAAACTAACATTAACTGTTAACCCAACTGTACCTTAGGAGTTGTTTGTTTTACACAAATATTTGGTTGGTGTGAAAGTCATTTTAATTTTTTTATTTAGTTTGTTTTTTGCTAACAAGGCAAAATACCCCCTTAGTTATGAGTGGCTAAAAGTGATGTTTCAAGTGCCATAATGGCTACTCTTGGTTTTACTTGATTAAAAAAATTGGATTTAATTGATTATCGTTCTGTTTCCAGTTGGTTAAGATGTTTAGATCCAAGATTGCTGGTTTAATTTGTAGAATGTTACAGTTGCTATTTGTTGTACATTACCTCTGCCAGCCAGCCTGTGGAACTGCCGCCACGTGAGAGGTCCGCTGACAGTGTACGGTGCGTCCCATAGTCGAGTGGTGCACTTCTTCTGTATAGCGTCCTGCAGCAAAGGCTGTAATGAGCGCATGATGCGCACAATGTCCTGACTGCAGCGGGGACCTCGCGCTCGCATGTACGGCCACCTGTGTACAGCCACTGCCTGGCCGCAGTGCCTTGCTGCCATCTCCTCCACCTGCAACAGATAAAAGTCATTGGTAATGTCTTGCAAGCAGTTCAAACAATGAATTGAGAGAGTTTAGGTGTATTGCTGTTGTGCTTTAATGTGACTTTTGAAAATAATACACAAACAAGAATAAATCGCGACAAGTAAGCAGGAATATTTTACTCAGAAAATAGAAAATGACACTAAGGGTTGGTTCAGGATATTTCATTATTAGGCCCGCCGCACATTGGAGCGAGGCGAGGTGCAGGCGGGAGCGAAGACTTTTTCGTGTCAACGCACATTGAAGCGAGGTGGGACAGAGGTTTCCTAGCTTTGGTCCTTCTGTCGCGAGTAGGAGTTAGATATTTTGGACCTTTGTTGATTCTGATTGTGAGTTTAAAATTTTGTTTTACTCTATTCGCTAAACAAAAAAAATTAAAAGCTGTTTTGAAAATGTGATTACCGTACAGGAAAAAAGATTAAGCCATGGATTGTACTTTTTTTTTAACTACTGAACTGCCAGACCGGTATTTTAGAGAATATTTTCGTGTGAACAAACAACAGTTTGACGATATTAATAAGTTGATTGAAAGTGACATTAATGGAAAGGAATGCAATGCTCAGCAACATATAGCCATCTGAATTAAATGCTACATTACTAGGGGTGGGCGAGTACTCGACCTTCGAGTAATTACTCGAGTTTTTTCAAATACTCGACCTCGAGTCGAGTAGTAATAACTACTCAAAAATTTTGAGTCGAGTAGTTATAAATAGTGCCAATTCACGATTTTCTACATCCATATTTAATATATTATATTTTGTTTTGTGTTGATGCCTTATTTAATCCCCATTCCTACAAAAAACAACTATCTAACCTCATATAGGTTAGACCAGCGTAAACCAAATGTTCAACAAACACCCATCGTCATTCGGCAGAGCTAGCAAGAGGACTACTACTACTAACAACAGACTTTCACTTTCCTACAACAGTCAACAATACGTCTCGATAACGATACAGTAAGTTGAAATAAAGCATTGAATGAATCTATCGAATTGCAATAGTCGATAGTCAACAAGGGAGTCTCGTGACTAGTAGGCCTAACAATGGCAGACGATTCTTGAAGATATTATAAAGTACAGTATCATATTTAGTTTGAACTGCCATAAAAATATTTTATACCAAAATATAGAAATAACAAAATATTTTATACCAAAATATAGAAATACAACAAATAAAAATAATCTATTGTAGCATAATATTTTTTCAAATTAATCGGTATTGGTGTTTAGTTTTACAAACCGATAAGTTACTGCAAGGAACATCAATGCATCTGAATGACGCAATCTCATTGGGTCTAGGCAAATGGCAGGCAGAAAGAAAAGATCAGTTCCACTTTAAACTCAGTGTTGCCAGATGGACGATAATTTTTTTACTTTTACAACTGTGGTATTGGCGTAAACAAACTATAAGTAGTATAATTTTCTAATGAGTTTACATAAACATGATTTAAATTAGTCAAACTATTAACTTTTTTTATGAAATAAAAGCTATAACAATTTTATGATAATTTTGCCGACATTCACCATAATGGTGTAATGATAAATATGGCAACGTCAGCCCTGCAAAACAGCTGTTTGATGGGAAAACAAAGCAGAAGCAGACAGCAGGAGCAGAAGCAGACAGCAGGAGCAGACCGACTAGAGAGAGAGAGACAAATGACAAATTCTTTATTTAACCTGCCCTGAGTTAGACCAAAGGTCCACTCTTCCCCCAGAGAGAGAGAGAGAGAGAGAGAGGGAGAGAGAGAGGGAGAGAGAGAGAGAGAGAGAGAGAGAGAGAGAGAGAGAGAGAGAGTAGAGAGAGAGAGAGAGAGAGATATATATATATATATAAAGATGGTGACGCATAGCAACTACTGTCGGGGAAATAAATATGTGCACTCGAGTTTGAGCCTAAATATCTCTGAGATTAATTATCCGATTTTGTTGAAACAAAAATTAAATGTAAGCTTGTTTAAATATATTTTACGTGGTAACAATTTAAAAATTTTCCGTTTACCAGAAAAATTTATATAGTTGAAAGATCCTAAAAAGTACCGGTTTTTTAGGAACTCTGCACTAACACTGAAGTTTAAAAATTAATTGTAAACAAACCACTGAGCCAATCTTTCTGAAATTTTTATGGCTTATTGGTAGGTTTATTGTTAACATTTCCATGCATTTTAAAATTTTTACTCACAAAAGTTTTTATGCTGCTGTTAGTTTTTAAAACCTATGCTAACATCGTTAATAAGACGCTAAAAATTTCGTTCAAAATGCCATCGTGTTTGTCGTGACACAAGAAATAACACCAATATGATAGATTTATAATGCGAACAAAGGCGTTTTTTAAACAGATTTATATTTGTAAACAAAAATTTCTCCCCCGACTGGCAGCGGGCCGCCTGGTGTGCGTACGATATTTCCCAGCCGGGCGGGGGCGCGGCGAATCTGCGACGTTGCCGATGTGTATCTGGCCAGTGGCCACCACACTGACATTGCATCGGTATTAACTCACGGCAAACAACTGTGTATATCAATATTTAGTTTGAAATTTACATAAATTTACTAACAATATATTCTAATTAACTAGTCATGAAACAAATACATTATAATAAGTTAACTATGGTGGTATGAAAAATTAATTTTGTATTACAAGCAACAAGCCAACTGTTTTGTGTTGATTGAGCTAGTTAAAAAATTATAACAGCTAAACGCCAAGTAAATATTTTCCACCAGTATTTATTTTATGGTTTCTTTAATTTGCCACTTTTAAATATACAACTGAGAGTATAAATCGGAGCGGTCATCACCCTTTCCGGGAAGTGTTGCGTTCAGCTGGAATATCCGATGAGTAATGGAATGTAAACATTAGCTCCCACCTTTCTTGAACTATGGTCGCTATGAGAGATGACTAACCAAGCTAACCAGTTCGTCTTAGATTTTTACACCGGTCGGTAACATCTATTCGAAAATGGCTCCTCGCCGGAATTTTTTCGATGGTGAAATACAGATGATAGTTAGTGCGATTTGTTTCTTTCATGCGGAAAAAGAAAAGTGCTGTGACAAACGTTATCCCGTGTATGATCATGTGGCCAATTGTTTTAACATCGGAACAAGGATAAATGTGGACCAATTTACCGTGGGAGCGATACGAAGGTACTTATATGATTTTACGTGCAAAAAATGTTTCCAACGATCGAAAAATTAAGGCAGAAGCTAAATATTGATTTTCAAAGTTGTTTGCCGTGAGTGAATAGGCTGCCCATGCAATGTCAGTGTGGTGGCCACTGGCCAGGTACACATCGGCAACGTCGCAGATTCGCCGCGCTCCCGCCCGGCTGGGAAATATCGTACGCACACCAGGCGGCCCGTTGCCAGTCGCGGGAGAAATTTTTGTTTACAAATATAAATCTGTTTAAAAAACACCTTTGTTCGCATTATAAATCTATCATATTGGTGTTATTTCTTGTGTCACGACAAACACGATGGTATTTTGAACGAAATTTTTAGCGTCTTATTAACGATGTTAGCATAGGTTTTAAAAATTAACAGCAGCATAAAAACTATTGTGAGTAAAAATTTTAAAATGAATGGAAATGTTAACAATAAACCTACCAATAAGCCATAAAAATTTCAGAAAGATTGGCTCAGTGGTTTGTTTACAATTAATTTTTAAAGTTCAGTGTTAGTGCAGAGTTCCTTAAAAACCGGTACTTTTTAGGATCTTTCAACTATATAAATTTTTCTGGTAAACGGAAAATTTTTAAATTGTTACCACGTAAAATGTATTTAAACAAACTTACATTTAATTTTTGTTTCAACAAAATCTGATAATTCATCTCAGAGATATTAAGGCTCAAACTCGAGTGCACATATTTATTTCCCCGACAGTAGTGATGTGACGAGTCGGGTACTTTCCTGACTCGAGTGACTCGACTCGCCAACTGCCGTGAACTCGAGTTACGAGTCGAGTCAGACTCAACTCGAAACGTTCCGAGTTCGTGTGAGTTCGGCATTCTCCGTACGAGTTCGTTAGTTTTGCGAGTCGGCCGACTCGGTACCGGCCAATAGCGTGTCAGCTTTACGAGTCGACTCGACTCGACTCGAGACGTTCCGAGTTCGTGTGAGTTCGGCATTCTCCGTACGAGTTCGTTAGTTTTGCGAGTCGGCCGACTCGGTACCGGCCAATAGCGTTGAATCTATGCGAGTTGACTCGTAAAGCTGTGACGCTATTGGCCGAAAGCGAGTGCGAGTAAACTCGAGTTAACTCGTTACGTCCCGAGTTCGTTAAGGTTCGGCTTTCTCCGTATGAGTTCGGTTTCTTGACTCGGCTTTTGCGAGTCGGACCAAGTCGGACTCGTAACGTTACGAGTTCGTGTAGCTTCGGCAATCTCCGTACGAGTTCGTAAAAGAACTCAAGTTGGAATTGAGTTGACTCGAGTTCACTCGACTCGGGTCTTGACTCGAGTCAACTCGACTCGCCAACTCAACTCGTCACATCACTAATAGCAACAACAAGAACAAAACAAAACAATGGATTGGAGTGAAGTTATGTCAACGTCAGTTTTGAATGTTTTTACTTTGAAGTGAATTTGTAACTTAAAATAAAACTGATTTTGTTAGTGGAAGTTTAATTGAAAGTAAAATAAACATATTCTGTTTGTGATTTTGATTGTGCAATTTTCAATCTGGTGGCAGAAACATGACAACTACAGTTTGAATTGTAACTTAACCTAGAAAATGTGAGTTTATAAAGAAAGGCCAAATAGGCTATACCAGGCTACAGTGAAATGTGTTTTAATTTTAAATTAAGTGTTTAATGTGGGATTTTATTTCGAGATAATAGGCCTACTATGTTTTTATTTGATATTTTCAGTCTGTCAGAGACGAGTGACTTGATCATTTTTATAAATGTACTGAGTGAAGAGGATAGCCCTAGTACCCATAACCTTCAAACTTCAGACAGATGAAGTGCTTATCCAAGTGATTACCTATTTTAAAATACCTCATTAATGTTTTTAACTTGTGATACAATATGTAGTTCGATATAAGTTTTCTGTTAAATAAATAAATTTATTTTTATAAATTCTGTTTCTTATTTGAATTGAAATTATTCTTAAAGTTAGGTAGGCCTACCTTATTAAGTTAGTTAGTTAGGTTGATTATCATATTATCATATTATTATTATATATTATGTTAGTGAGGAGGAATTAAAGGCAAGAAAAAATAAAACACACAATAACAAGTGATGTGTAGGCCTAAATAATTTAATGCTGCAGCCAACAAGTAGTCTAGGCCAAATTTTTTATTAGGCCTAAGGTAGGAGGTACTAATAATTAGTAACCATATAACTTAGAAAATTTGGTATAAGTACTTAAACTACCTATTTAGGCCTAGGCAGGGTTTAGGCTAGGATGAAATTTTTTTCAGCAAAATGCTGCAAACTCTCTGCAAAGACAAAAACTAAGTTAGGCCTAACTGTAGAAAAAATATTATTCAATAACTTAAGCATTTAAAACAAAAAATTCCAGTAGGCTAATATTACATTTGTTTGAACATTACATCTTTCAATTTTATTTGTAGAAAATTTGCCATAGGCCTAGCCTGCAAAACAATGTAAACTTAGCATTTTTAAGTTGTGAATAGCAACTGGGCTCTCAGCAACTCAGAAGTATGTTCCTCACTGAACCTCAAGATAAATAAAACTAAAACAGTCAATATAAACTTCTCAACAAAAAAAACAGACTAACCCTCAGACTTCAAGCTCAACATCAATCACAACTGTATCAGAAACAAAATTCTTAGGAGTCTTTTTGGATGAAAACTTATCCTGGCAAAAGCATATTGAACATCTAGAAAATAAGCTGTTGTCAGCAACATTCGCAATAAGCAGAATATGCTCTATAACAGACAAAAAAACTGCAAAAATCGCATATTTTGCATTATTTGAAAGCCATTTAAGATTCGGCATCATAGCTTGGGGTTCTGCTGCAGACAATCTCATACAAAAACTGCTTACAATACAAAAGAGGGCCATAAGAACAATAGAACAGCTTCAATATGACGAACATTGCAAACCATTCTTCATATCCAATGAAATCCTTACCCTACCATCCCTCTACATTCTGGAAACCATCAAATTTTTGAAACTCAACCCCCCAAAAGTCAGAAATGATTGCCACAAACTTAATTTAAGAAACTCAAAACTTAACTATAATGTTCAACAACACAGACTTGCCAAAACTAGTAAAAATCCTCAAATAATAGGGTCAAAGCTATTTAATATGTTACCAGAGAATTTAAAACTAATCCACAATGACAAAACTTTCTTGAAAAAACTAAAACAATATTTGCTAAACAAACCATATTACAACCTAAATGAATTTTACGTAGATCACAGCATCTACAATAGACTAAACCATTAAACTGCTCACAACCTACACTAATACACAAATACACATATATACACATAACAAAAGAAGAATGACGATTCCCTGGTCTCAACGACTACGGTGAAGAGGACCTAGGTAAAGGTAAAGGTAAAGCAAGATGCTAAAAATACTACCGCAGCATAAACCCTGGGCCTAGGCCTACTTAACGCGCAACTACTCGACTCGATTCGATACTCGAGTTTTTACTCAAATACTCGACTCGACTCGAATTGAAAAATCACTACTCGCCCACCCCTATACATTACTATATCTTTCACTCACGCTTGAAAACTATACATTTGAAAACCAACGCAGGCGCAAGCGAGGTGCAGGAAAACTGCATTCCAACTACAACGCCGCGGAGGCCTGACAGAGGCTGCAGCTGTGCTGCGCGTAGGCTGCGCGCAGCCTCTGCTCATTGTGCGGTGCTCCATTTAAACATGTGTATTACAGAATCAGCCGCGCCGCGCCTCGCCTGCACCTCGCCTCGCTCCAATGTGCGACGGGCCTTAAGCTCTGTAGCCAACTTTAGTAACTGTACCTTATACAGTAGAACCTCAAAGAGAAGTGTCTTGGAAACAGTCTTACTTTCAAGGTGCTCTTCTTGTTGAGAGTTATGTTATCAAGGACAAGGTCAATGATAGTACTGACACTGAGCATCTTTATAATTAATGCTTTACAGAACAACGCTTGTACGCTAACAGACTGTTTATTTTTTAAATTGTAATTTATACTACAGTCCTGTTTATTTTTTAACAAAATTTCAACTATGTTAGTTAATAAAATGTTCCTTTAAATGAAAACATTTAATTTGTACGTTATGGCACAGGGTAGAGTGGGAGCTTTAAGTCAAAACTTTCCTAGTGGGCCTACATGAGTCTGAATTAACTAAGTTTTCTCTAAACCATTTGTTCTAGTAAACTCTCGAGGGAAATGTTCAATTCAGTTACCTATATATAAGAGTTGTGTTATTAAAATTCACTTCTCCAAATTATTTGCTACCTGTTCTGGATTACATAGTGATTTAGACAATGGCGTGTTACTGAGGTTGGTTTGATGGAAATAAGTTTTGTTATAACCTACAGGATGATAAAATTAAACACTGTCAGGCGTTTTCAAGGGGATATAAATACAGTATACTCTCAATTATCCGAGCCCCCGAGTTTTCCGAGGTAGTTTAGGGCCTATATTTTTTTTATTTCCAGTCGGAAAACAATTATTATGTTTTTAGGAATGTTTCTGTTGAAAGTAAAGTAATAATAGCAAGTAATTTTTGATTTCTTAAGATTATTACTTAAAAATTATGATTAGAGGTATTATTATAACGGAAAAGATCCGCAACAACCTAGAAAATGTAAATCACACACAGTACTAGCATTGTACTAGTTTGGCCAAATGGTTAGCTGGACGAGTCGTTTGCAAAACGTCAGCAAAATGAGTAACATTTCTGCTCAGGTGCCTTGCCAGCTTGTATCGCCTTTTGTCAATGTCTGTGATTAATTGTTTTAAACAATGTTTTAATATTGTCATTTGATTGTGTCAAGTATAGTTCAAGTCAAACTCAAACAAAAATAATGTTATACTTTAAAAACTAAACTATAGGGGTCCATTTTATTGTGTTTTTATTTAATCCTGTAGTGTTGGCTTGGCACCTATTTTACTGTATTTTAAGTTTCCAAGACAATTTAAGAAGTGTTAAGCATGTTTGAGTTATGGTTTTCCTTAATACACACTGCCACATTTAAATACATTTTCTATTAAAATACCAATTATTGATCATTTTGTGTTCGCGATGCATTGTTACTAAAACATATACTTTAGAAGTCTTTAACTTCCTAATGTGGTACCGTAGTGGTACTGTAACCGATAACCTCAAAATCTAAGACATCTCCTCGTTATATGAGATTCTCGGTAACCGAGGTAGTCTCGGTCCCAACAACCTCGGTTAATCGGGAGTATACTGGAGTGCATTTACAAGATCAAATTCTTTACTCAAGTCAATAATAGGAAATTACATTGATGCATTATCCACAAAAATTGCTTAGTAAGCTCTATACTTTATTGTAATAACCATTAAATGGTTAAGTATTTAACTTACCTTGCACATGGACACATTGCCGTCCTGTGCCGCCTGTCGTCCCTGTTCCAGCGCGGCCAGGGTCACTTGATTACCGTCCCTAAATTCCAGCAGGTTGATGCTAGGAGGTGCACTAGCCGGCCTGTGTTGCCGCGCCGCACGATACAAACTGTTACTAGCACTGTGCACTACCACACACTGTTGTCTCACTAGGTCCATCACTCCCAGCGCTGCACCCACAAGTCCCGGATGGTTGGTTTCCTCCCGGTCCTCCAACATTCCCGTGATCTCCACCTCGTCCTCCAGGAACAGTCCCGACCTGTGGGAAAGTCTTCGGTTGATCACCGCACTGAAGCCGCAGGTGCACCTGATAGGGTCTTCCTCCTGTGACGTGTGGTGTGGTGAAAACACTGAGTATGGGCCACCAGGCGTCTGTAGGTACACTCCGGCGTCCGCCCCTCGGATGTTGCCCACACACTGCAAACAAATAAATAGCCTGTAAGTGAAAGTTCATCCGTAAAGCCCCTGTCACACGGAGTTGGTTTTCTCGCCGCTAGTAACTAGCAGCTAGAACCAGCAGGAAACCAGCATCGTGTGACTGATTCTCCAGCTGCTAGAAACACTCGCATGAGCTGGTATCTCCAGCCGCTGGAGGTTTTAAACAGTTTAATATTACAAGCGCTTGAAGAGTCACTAGCAGGTCATGTGACCACCCAGCTGTAGTCTCTAGCACCATTCCAGCTCTGTCTGACAGTATCATGCTAGTTAACGCATTAAGAAAAATGAATTTAAATTAATTGAACACATTGAAACTAATCAAGAATAAATTTTAACTTTCATGTTAAGAAATTTTAGGCATCGTCATAATTTTCTCGTTGTTACGATTGCTACATCTCACATATTAATTAAATGAATGTGATTTTTTTGTGTTGATGAAAGATAAGTCCTTTTGTTTTACGGCTACCACAACTTATTTGATTTTAATTACAGTAGTTAATTTACATGCCCGTAGTAGATACCTACAAAATAATAGTGTTTTTATATATTAATATTTTATTTTTTTTTTGCACTTTTTACTTCTATAATGGCTGATCATTGACAAAACATCACTTCTAATACCAACATTATTTTTGTTACCTACGGAGTGTGTACTTAGTTACATCCAATTTAGGGATGGTCAAGTCTCGAAATTTCGGGAAATTTTCAATCTCGTTACACGAGACGAGATTACTTTTTGGCCGAGATTTTTATCGAGACGAGAATAAAAAAAAAAAAAAAAAAAAAAAAAAATTAAAAACGCCTGCAGAAAGTCAATGCAATACCCGCAATACAGGAGCGTGTTGTAGTTGCGTTTCCTTTTCGAAGGCGTTCTTATTTAATTAATTCTTTTAATGTAAATATTACTTTAATTCTTTTAATGTAAATATTACTTTCATTATTTTAATAATATTACTTTAATAACATTTGAGAAGTTTTGTTAAGTGTAAGCAGTGTGAGGAATGTTTTATTACTATAAAAAAAGTCAAAACAAGTAACTAGGCTATTTTATAAAAATTAATATTGCTTTTATTTTTTGATTTATTTTATTTTAGGATAAGTTGAACTCTATCCTAACTGATATCACCATGTTTCCTAAGTAGGCATTTTTAATAAGTTAGGCGTGATTAATAAAAAAATGTTATGCTGATGTTATTCAATGAAAGATTGTAAATATTCTTGCCTATTATCATTATTTTAGTATTTAAACAGTCATCTAACAATGTTACAAAATCAGGTAAAAATTTCGAACGTGCATTTCCCGTTGTGTATGAGAAGAGAAATCTCGTCTCGATCTCGTCTCGAAATTTAATGAGAAATAAAAAATCTCGTCTCGTCTCGTCTCGAACTAAAAATCCAATCTCGTCCATCCCTAATCCAATTACATCCTCAGACTTGTAAGTTGTAGCAACTAGCAACTAAAGCTGCTGGTTCTCGCAGCGAGAACTAGCTGCTGGAACCAGCTCCGTGTGACAGGGGCTTAAATATTAGTAGAAGCATAGTTAATGTAAATAGTTGTGTAAGGGAAATAGATATAAGTGAAGTTTGTACAAAACAGGCAAAAAGTCAGGCTAGCAGTAAATCTGTTTATGTTCGCTTTAGTATTTTGAAGACTCCAAGACATGGAATTTTTAAAATTTTAAATATTGATAATTTAGGCATTGTTGTATCTATATGTTCATACTGCTATGCATTTGTTAATTTCAATAATCTGTTTGTTTTAATGTGATTCAATTAATGTAAATAAAACAGTGATAAAATAAGGCTCAACTAAATACTAAAATTTCCAACTAAAATTTATTTAACTATATTTATTAGTGATGGTCGGATCCGGATATCGGACTACCGGATCTGCCAGATCCGAGCTGGAACCGGCACCCGATCGGATCCAAAAAATTCCGGATCTTGGGGTGGATCCGGTTTTGATGGATCCGATTTTTTCCCGATTTTTTTACTAACATAAAGCTGTCTGTATCCATGTACGCTCATCCGGACTAATGTGGCGGACGTCCGGTCCGGATTACGAAAAATCTGAACTATCGAGAGTCGAGCAAATACACAGTACTGTATATAGCCTTTTTTCAATTTTGTTAGTTAGCCTACATTTTTTAACACATTAAATGAATACATTGTTAAAGGTAAATGAAGATATTACAATAAATGTAAAAATAAAACTTTCTAGAAGTGTGAAATTTTGAAATTTTTCGATCAAGCCAAACTCAAGGTTATTTAGTGATCATCTACCACTGTTGTAGCTATCACTGTCTTCCGTGGTCGTGACAAAATCCTGATATTGTTCAGCAGTAACGGAAACACTATAATCGTCTCCCGTGATCACAGTAAAGTTATCATCTTTCTTGATCGTAGCTTAATTAAAATAATTTCCCACGGTCATCATCGTCAAGCAATAGTTTTTGGACATCATCATGGTTTCCCGCGGTCAAGGAAACGTCATCGTCGTCTCCCACGGTCACGGGAACATCATCAACCGCATGCACTATTACAGCAAAATCACTAACATATCCCGTGGGCGTTTGTTTGGACATCATCGTCTCACGTTTGTAGCGTCCGCTACAAGATACAAGTCTAACGCACAAGGTCACGTGACACCACAACTAGACTCGATGCGCGCGTACACCCAAAAGATCCACCGCGAGTAGATGAGACGGAGGGAGAACAGTGTAATGTAGTGTGTGCAGCCAGCAGGCAGGACATCTTCAATCGGATGAGTAACCTTAGAATGAGTAGGTAATATAGTAGGGGTTGGGGAAGGGTGTACGCTAGGGCAATGAATTAGTATTTAATTATGTAATTTATTAGGTTTACCAAATGGTCATGGTCTCGTGATCAATATTCCAAATTTATAAAATTAATATTTGAATTCACGTTAGCTACATCTAGTTACTATTAATAATGATTTTGGCCTCTTTGTACGTCAAAATGACAAAGTAAACAAGGTAAGCATTGGTCTTACCATGAGACCTACGGTAATAGCTTATTCCCTATATGGGAAATTCGCTAAAAACAAATAAATGTTAAAATATTTCAAGACCAATAAAAAATTATTAATTCAATGAAGTATGTAACAGTATTTAATGTTTGTATAGTTTTAGCTTGACACAATAATTTAAAAACTGAACAATAATCTTGACAAAGGAAATAACTTTTCATGGGCAAATCATAAATCGGGAAACCAAACTTGTTCCTTAGACTCACCACTCAGCCTGAATCTATAAATCCACTTCCTTGGCTTGAATTTACAATACCACTCTCTCTTCAACTTAACGTTCCTTAGTTAAAAATTCTGTCAGTGGCAGTGAAATATATAAATTGTTGGAGTATAGTGTTAAGTTTTGTCTTTTAGTACCAAAACAATGGACTCATTCAGAAAAGCCTGCTATCCTCCCAAAAAATCCTATAAACCTAGGCCTTATGCTCTATGTTACATCCTGAATCTAGAAATGATTACCTTTGGCCCAGCATTGCAAACGCACAGCGTGCAACTGTCAAAGTTGTGGTCTCTAAAGATGTTGAGAGCCGTGTCGCCCAGTAGGATGTTGACCACCAGACTGTTAGCCTCGGGTGGTCGGCCTGGCCTGGTAGGAGGAGGTTGTGGACTGTAGGGCGGAGGTGGCTGAGTAGGGGTGGGTCTCCAGGACATGGGACTGGCGGGGTACGGAGACAACCCCCGTAGTTGTCCAACACTGCTGCCTGTCCGTCCTGGCATGGAGGTGGGAACTGGCGATGCTCCTACACTCGGTAACATGTTGTTCATATGCCTGTAAGCAACACAAAGACATTAGCATGTTAATTGTTAAAAATAATACTTTATTTTTACAAAACATATAACATATCATGTGACAAGATGGGGCTGTTTTAACTAGAGATGTGCCAGTAGTGAAATTTCACTTTGTATCTAATTGGGGTTGGATAGTTAAGGCTTGGTTTGGATTGGATCGGATTATGAGAAATACGGATTCAAATATTTTAGGGTTTGGATGGTTTGAAGTTAAAGTACGTAAGGTAAAGAAATATAATATGCATTTTTTACATACAATAACTACAATTTTACTAAAGAACACACTACTTTATTAACCTCCTTGAAGAAACAGCAAACCTAAGTACAATATTCATTGAACCTAATATATTTTAAACTAGGAAACCTGCGCGGCTCATCATTCAAGTTAAAATTGCAGTAAGGTTATTCTGAAAACTTGAAAGAAATATAGTTAAAGTATCTCTAATTTCGTCATGAAAGTTCACGTACATTTCTGTTCTCAGTTTTGACTGATTACTTGTAATGAATGATAAAGATTCTCCTTAAATTCAAATGAACACATCTGTAATATATTGCAACAACACTTTTACAGTATGAAAAACTGAAGACAATTGTTGCCTTACCGATAATCTGTGTGAAGCAAATTGAAGTTGGGTCACTTTATTTCTTTGAGCAGTAGCTCTTTCTTTGATTTGAGGCATCCCCCAAAACAAACTCTTTTCGCTGCACGGGATCGGATCCAATTGTGAACAGTCTGATGCCATCAACAATTTCAGGAGCTCTGTTTTTTTAGGTATACTACAATCTTTGATTTACCAACTAGGCAGCCATCATCTGCTTTGAATATAGCAGCAAGGTCATTGGAAGTTGTTTAACTTACGTCATGAAGGTTGTACAGTGAAAAAAATATGTCTTTTATCTTGTTGTCTGTCAGAGTATATGCCCAGCATCAGCACATTCTCATGTTGTTCCAGTTGATTTTCTCTTAATATCTGTTCCAATGTTTTGAAAGCTTGAAAGAATGGATCTATTTGTTAATAACTCTAAAATAGATTTGGATAACAATTTTCATTTTCTTCTATTGAACAGCGTATATTCATAGCTTCTGAATCATAAAAATAAACTTAAAACCGTTGCGACTGTTAGGTGTTATTCCAATTCTGTAATAAACAACACTTGAACATTGAATACTAGAGATGGACGGGTCCCAAAATTTCGGAAAATTTTCGGGAAAAAAATATTCCTGATTTTTGGAACAGGATTTGGTCCAATCGTAGGCGATTTTGCCGCTTCGCGAGTGACAATAACGACGCTATCGCGAGAGATGTTCCGCGAACGCAGGAGCCGAAGTCATACCGACGATCGCGCAGTGTCCGCGGAGTCGTACCGACGATCATGCCGTGACTGCGGAGTCATACCAACGATCACGCTGTGACCACCGAGTCATAACGACGATCACCCCGTGACCACGGAGTCATAACGACGATAGCGCCGTGGCCGCGGAGTCATACCAACGATCAAGCCGTGACCACAGATTCATAACGACGATCACCCCATGACCACAGAGTCATACCGACGATCGTCCTGTGACCGCAGAGTCATACCAAGGATCGTGCCGTGATCGCGAGTCATACCGACGATCACTCTGTGACCACAGAGTCATTCCGACAATCACGCCGTGACCGCGGATTCATACCAACGATCACGCCGTTACCGTGAGTCATACCGTCATTCACTCCATGACCGCGATTCATACCGACGATCACCCCGTGACCGCGGATTCATACCAACGTGAGTCATAGGGACGATCACACCGTTACCGTTAGTCATACCGACGATCACCTCGTGACCGCGGTCATTTTGACGATCGCACCGTGACCGTGAGTCACATGTTTCTATAGGTACCTGTAAATTGTTGTAACCAAACCATTTTTTGGTGTTTGTAGATAGTGTCACAAACGGTAAAAATTGATTTTGTTTGTCTTTTTTGTTAACTGCAGTACTCAAGACTTTCTTTTTATGCACAGGAAAAAATCCCGTCCCGTCCCGAAAATCGTGAGGGAAATAAATATCCTGTCCCGTCCCGTCCCGAACTAAAAATTCAATCCCGTCCATCCCTATTGATTACATACATAAGGTCCTTCTCTTGTGTTTGGTCAAATACAGCCACACTACCACCATAACACTTACTATAAGCAAATGAGTTGTTGCAGCTTCATGTTTTAGTGAATTTCCCTATAGGGAAGTAGCTATTACCGACCGATTTACTTTTTCATTATGATGTCCCCAGAGGCCAAACAACCCAGAACCAGCTCCAACCAGCGCCATTCCTTCAAATTTATATATACTATTTTATTTTGATTTTCACTAATATTATAAATGTGAAAGTTTGTGTGTTTGTTTGAAGTTTAATCACGCACTAACTACTTGTTGGATTGGGCTGAAATTTGTTATGGTGTTAGTTCACACTCCCGATTAACATAGACATATTCTTATTTCAAAAATCCTTTCTGGTTCCACCCCAGTGGCTCTGGAGTTTCCGGTGTGTTTTGGTTTTGGACTCTTGTGATTTGTTTTAGATCCAAGAAATTTTAAATCCGCATTATGGAATTCCAAAAGGTTTCATTTTCTGTGTGGGGTTTGAAACTCACATTCGGTATGTTCAACTTATAAGGATTATGTTCTTCGCTAGAAACATCCCTTACTTCTTCTGTTTGCTTATTAGTGACAAAGAATGGTTGTAATAAAGCTCTTGCTTCAAGGTATGTTTCCTCTACATCTGTACGATAATCTTCTTCTCTCTCAATTTCATCTTCATCGTCTGTAGTTATTATAATCTCTTCATGTAACACAGTGAATCTTTTCCACGTTTCCTCCAGTAGAGTTTGTCTGCCCAGAGCATCATATATGGAAGAACTTTTGGTTTTCAGCACATGTTAAGTCCTTGTAATTTGTGATTTTATGATTTCTCTTTGTTGTTTTAATTTTCTATTTTCATTTTCACTTTTATCACTCGTCGCAATTGATATGTCTTCATAAAATACAAAATACACGTAAATTGATAGGTAAGCTTTATTCTAGAACACAAAAGATAAAATGTAAACAATAACAATAAAAACAATAATAATTGTCTGATTATTTAAGCATATGACAGGGTCACAATCAGTTACAACACTATCGTGAATATTTATACATATATTTTAAAATATCCTAAACAGACTAAATAAAACTAAGGGTGAATTTAAGCAGTAGCAAGTGAACTTTGGAAAAGAGTTTTTTAAATGCAAGACAACATAAAAATTGAAAAGTTGTTAAAGAGATTCTTTTATGAAATTTAACAACTTAATTTGTAGTAAATTGAATTAAAGGTGATCTTGTTAACCAGCTAAATAATACTTCCCATTCCAGTATTAAATAAAAACCATGTTCAACTCACCCTGATTGTTTCTCCTGGAAGTGAGAGGGAGGGTTAAGCCACGAAGGCTTGTATACACAGTGAGACGGCAACGAGATGGATGGTAGACTCTGAGAGGGGAGGTTTGTTAATGGAGCGTACTTGGACGATCCTACAAACTTCCACATGGTGGGGGGTCGAAAAACATATGTCCAGTCCTGTAATGTTGACAAGATTAAACCATAGACTAACCAACACAAGTAAACTTCTCATCCCATTGTACATTTTGAAGCACGTTTTTCGTGTCTAGTTCATGTACGGTGACACTGGGCGCTAGTGTGGACGAAATTTTGTTTCTATTATTTTGGGGTTAATTTCTTGATTTGTGCTTTACTGTTTGGTTATATAACTAGGGGACAAGTTATTGTTTATGATTAGGTCGTATTATTTGGTTAAACGAGGTTTTAAATTACTGAAATAACGAGAAACAAATTGTAAACAAAAACACGACCTCTACACAAACCAACAACAGAACTAACAATAAAATTATCTTCAGCTGTTCCATAAGGATGAGAAATCTACTATGGGAGTATGTTTTATCTATGATTAAACTAGGGATGGACGGGTCTCAAAATTTCGGAATTCGAGATTTTAAATCTCGTTCTACAAGACGAGATTCTATTTTAGTCAAGATTTTTTTGAGACAAGAATAAAAAAAAATTAAAAAAAATTAAAAAAAACTTTGCCAAGGTGTTTTATTTAGTTAATTCTTTACATGGAAATATTGCTTCAATTTAGGGATGGTCAAGTCTCGAAATTTCGGGAAATTTTCAGGAAATTTTAAATCTCGTTACACGAGACGAGATTTCTTTTTGGCCGAGATTTTTATCGAGACGAGAATTAAAAAAAAAAAATTAAAAACGCCTGCAGAAAGTCAATGCAATACCCACAATACAGGAGCGTGTTGTAGTTGCGTTTCCTTTGCGAAGGCGTTCTTATTTAATTCTTTAAATGTAAATATTACTTTAATAACATTTGAGAACTTTTGTTAAGTGTAAGCAGTGTGAGGAATGTTTTATTACTATAAAAAGTCAAAACAAGTACCTAACTATTTTATAAAAATTAATATTGCTTTTATTTTATGATTTATTTTATTTTAGGATTAGTTGAACTCTATCCTAACTGATATCACTATGTTTCCTAATCGTAGGCATTTTTAATAAGTTAGGCGTGATTAATAAAAAAATGTTATGCTGATGTTTTTTAATAAAAGATTGTAAATATTCTTGCCTATTATCATTATTTTTGTATTTAAACAGTCATCTAACAATGTTACAAAATCAGGTAAAAATTTTGAACGTGTATTTCCCGTTGTGTATGAGAAGGGAAATCCCGTCTCGATCTCGTCTCGAAAATTTATGAGAAATGCAAAATCTCGTCTCGTCTCGTCTCGAACTAAAAATCCAATCTCGTCCATCCCTAAAATTGTTTTATAATTTTTTTTACAAAGCAAATGATGAGAAGTTTTGCTAGTGTAAGCAGTGTGAGACATGTTTTACTTCTGTAAACATAGCCAAAATAAGTCACTCCAAAATCATTCTAAAAATAATACAAGACTTAAAAATTGTTACTTGATACTTAACTAAAGTCGGGACCACATAAGTTTGCAGTTGAGGGAGGAGCCTATTTACCATATGGTTTTGATTTTTGAATGAACCAATGAGAACGGTGCGGTGTTGCCAAATCTAATAATACCATCTGATTTGTTAGATAGTACTGCAACGCCGCTCAACTGGGTGACCGGGTAGCTGCCACGAGTGACTGGGAAGTGTGGGGCCTGACTATGTTTTGGGACACCAAGCTCAAACACGGCTAGCTAGTCGGCGTCCTACGCTTGTGTGAACGGCTCCATTTGATCCTGTGGTCCGCTACCCAGTCAGGCTTACCTAGTCACATCCTAGTCGGCTAGGTATGTTGCCCGTGAGAACCGGGCCTTACAGTAACTAACTTCTTAATCAGCATAGTACTAAGATTAAACAATGCACCATTCTAGGGATAAGTAAATTGGGATCAGCATCCCAGCAGATGGAGCAGAAGGTCCAAAGCTTATATTTCGGTTGACTAGGTCCAAAACATTATTTCGGTCCAAAAGATTTTTTTGCTTCAAAATTCATAAGGTTCAAAAAAAGTAAAGTCATTAACAGAAGTAACCATTTATATTGTGAAGCTGGCTTTTGAAAAAGACTGTCCTTTGGACTTTGGACCCTGTTATACATTTTATTATTATATGAATTTCAGTAACTCCAATTCAATTAGGTCCAAAAATATATTATTCAGTATCTCCAAAATTTAGAAGGCCCAAAAGTAGGAATAATTTTGTCCCTTAGTTTGAAGGGGTATGTATATTGTTTTAACACACACTGTGACCTGCCGCATTAATTGATATTTATTAAAAAGAAGTAAACTTGTTTGTTAACTATTAATTGAGCCCCTGAAATCCATAGTGGTACAAGTCACACTGAGCTAATTTTGAGAAACAGAAGCATTTAGTAGATATCTTACCATAAACTATTAAATTAATTTAAAATTTGTTAGTATTCATAAATGTATTATTTTATAGTGTATTATTTATTTTATTTGTATTATTATTTCATACGAGCTGTTGGCCCGTCCTACGTACGGGAATCGAGTGGTCTATTAAAACTGTATATAGTTTGTCTATTACTAATTCAAGCATAGTTTAAGCAGTTCAAAATTTATAGTAAAGAAAAAGCTGCCAAGATGAATTAAAACATGTGATCATTGTTATTTTCCCAACCTTTCCTCAAAAAGTAGAGTAGTAAAATCATTTTCATAAGCTTTCTTTTGGAGATTCGTGAGCTTCGATTCGTATACCGCAATGGTTATAGAATCTTACTTCTTTCCTATAATCAATGACAAAATCACAGAGTAAATAAACTAACCGCATAGTTCTATAGAATATTTTTTTGTTCAACCAACTGTTAGTTATAAAACAAACTAAATTTTTTAAAGGCTGCTCAAAAAATTAATTATAAACATCTAGTATTTTACTATGTATATTTAAATAATATCTCATCCTCTTACTGAATGAATGAACGTATCAATGATTATAGCATTACACATAGTAGAAATAAGTCAATTCTACGTATACTCACGTCAATTCATTTTCATCCAAATGCTGAATTTGTGTCAAAAACGCTTAATGTTTAACAGCTGTTACGTTAAGCAAATGGTATTATACAAAAGCTAGTTTAGAATGTTAGCGTCGGCTGCTACTTTTCAAAATTATAACTCAACTTCTACAAAACTGGGACCCTAAATTAAAATTATGGCTTCGACATTCCCTAGTTCTCAAAATTATCTTTCTTTCAAAAGAAAAATAATGAAAATCCGTCGAGTGGTTGATTCAGAATCGTGAAATAAAAAAACCCTGTCACGTTTTAATATATATATGATTAGAGGGATTTTTTTGTATGGGGTGGTTCTGTAGGGGTTGAAATGACTTATGACACTCTGCCTTGACAACATTTTCATGCAACTGCTAGGTAAATTATATACAACTTTTGTTGACTTTGACATAATTAAGTAACATAAACTCTGTAGACCTTGTAAACTTATTCATCTTTGTCCTCCTCATTATCTTCTGAGCCTGATACTATTAAACTATTACTATTATTGCATTGCGCTCCTGTTGCAGATGGCGTATCAACAATGTTGTAGAACACATGTTTGACATGTATGTGTCAATCTAACATCAGCAAACTATGTTGTCAGCAAATCTAACATATCTTGTTTTTTTTTTTTTCAATTGAAAAAAAAATCCATTTCTTAATTTAGGCATTTTTTTATAATTTATAAAGGGGTTTCTCTCACATACCGCAGCCACTTAATCTTGAAATTGTTATCTTAAAACTTTAGAAAAACACAACCTTAACTTTGTTTGTCCATACTTTGTGTCACAGTCTAAGAAATGGCAGAGTGGTACAAATCACTGAGACACTGACTGAAGTAACGTTGTTTGCAGCAATAGTAGTACAATTCTGACTTGAACCACTATGGTTGCTAAGGATACCAGCTGATTGTTTGGGAGCAAAACAAAAATTTCCTCTGATACCCCTGGTGATTGCAATTGACTTATACTACTAGGTACGTTTTTTAAGTAAGGACCGTTTTTAAATTTCTTCGTTCCAGCACTGCGATTGGCATTTTCGACATTTGCGCTGTGTATGTGCATCTATTGGTAAGACACAGCCGGAAATTCGAGAAAAATCGTCCGTGTTTACATCCGGTTTCAAGCATTCGAAATGGTGCCGCCAATTGAGACTGCCGCCGACTGTGAAGTGCGGGCTGAAATTAGATTTTTAAGAGCTAAAGGTGTGAAAGCTATTGAATATCATCAACAGATTAGTGAAGTGTATGGTGAGAACATTAGGAGTGACGGAATGGTACGCAAGTAGGTAAGGAACTTTTAAGACGGCCCCACCAACGTTCATGATGAGCAACGCACTGGGTGTCATCATGGGTACGGGGACAGTAATGACGACGCCCAGTGCGTTACTCATCATGAACGTTCGTGGTACCATATTTCAATTCCCATATCCACTTGCATACAATTATGACACTCAAAATGTTCTTGCCATACACTTCACTAATCTGTCGATGATTTTTATTGGCTTTCACACCTTAAGCTCTTAAAAATCTAATTACAGCGCGCACTTCACAGTCGGCGGCAGTCTCAATTGGCGGCACCATTTTGAATGCTCGAAACCGGATGTAAACACGGCCGATTTTTCTTGAATTTCCGGCTATGTCTTACCAATAGATGCACATACACAGCGCAAATGTCGAAAATGCCAATCGCAGTGCTGGAACGAAGAAATTTAAAAACGGTCCTTACTTAAAAAACGTGCCTAGTACTTTGCCCACAAATAGAACAAGAAAAGTGTTTATCTATTGGTACCAAATACTTGAGTTAAAAAATGACTTATGCCACTATGTATCTCAATTAAATACAGGGCAAATCAACAATAACAGCTGGTATTGAATTCATAGAAACTATAATAAATGCTGTTGACAGAGGAGAAAATGTTGTAGGAATCTTTTTGGATCTTAGTAGGGCATTTGACAGCGTGTCACATAGTATATTGTTGACTTCACTAAAAGAAATGGGAATCTATGGAAAAGAGCTTGCATGGTTTACATCATATCTAGAAAACAGAAACCAATTTGTTGAACTGGATTATGTTGTGGAGCATGCAAACACAAAGTACGTTGAAAAATGTAGATCTCAGCATCAGACGCTGAAATATGGGGTGCCGCAGGGATCGATCCTGGGGCCTCTACTTTTTCTCTGCTATATTAGAGGTATGCCAGGAGCGATTCCTGGTAACGGCGGGTCTATGTGTCTGTTTGCTGATGATTGTAATGTGCTTATTCCCGGAAGATCAAAACAACAGATTGAAACGTTTTCTCAGGAGAGTCTTTTATCCATAAAAGAATTCCTTGACCGAAAAAATCTGCTTATTAACACAGAAAAATCCAATTTTATATCATTTTCCACTAAACAACGTAGACAAAATTTTGAACCAAACATTTGCATAAAATCAGAAAGAATAAACCAAGTAAAGCAAACAAAATTTCTTGGTCTAATTATCGATAAACATCTATCTTGGGAGGGCCATGTGAACTATGTGGTTAAAAAGGTATCTTCCGGTATCCATGCGCTGCGACAGATGTTCAGAGTATGCAGTTTAGACACTTTAAGAGTTGTTTATTTCTCATTAATACATTCACATATTTCATATGGAATTGTTCTATACGGGGCAACAACAAAAACTAATTTAGATAAAGTACTAATTAAACAGAAAAAAGCTATCAGGGTGATGAAAAATCTTAAAAAGAAAGAGCCAGTCAAGAGCATCTTTCGTGAATTACAAATATTAACAGTTTATAGTCTTTATATTTATGAAACAATAATTTATGCAAAACAGATCCAACTATCATCCAGCTCAACAGAACAATTAGTATATAACACCAGATTAAAAATTAACCTACCTCGGCATAATCTCGAATTTTACACTAAAAAGACATCTTACATAGGGCTAAAATTTCTCCAGTCTATACCAGCTCACATCCGAAAAGAAACAAAATTTAATAAATTCAAGAAGCTCTTAAAGGAATATTTTTTAAGAACTCCCTGCTACTCAGTAACAGAATTCTTTAGTATTAGTAAAAAACAGTTAGGCCTAACTTAATTTGAATTCCAAATACTGTTATCCTTAAAGTCATGGTTTTGTTAAAAGTTCAAGTAAAGTAATTTTTGTACTCTTTTTATGTATTTAATTAGCAGTAAGCAATTTTGAATTTAGCTTATGACTCTATTCAAGTTCATGTAATGTGAAACTATAATGAATAAAGAATGTTTTGATTGATTGATACAAAAATGGTTAGCTATCGTTACTCATTATTACCTCTATGATCTCTTCCTGTGGACTGCCGAAGTGGGGGTACGCGTGATGTTCCTGTTTGATCCTAGGCAGAGGTAAGAACTCAGGAGGTTCATGAACTGGCGTGTGGCCGCATGGGGAGGAGATGGGGTTTGGCTCATGGCTGGGAGGGGTAGGGAACATCTTACTGAGCTCCTCCGGCCGCACCCCTCCACTACCCCGAGGTGGTCGCACTGTCAGTGTGCTTGCAAACTCATCCCCTGCACCCTTGTTGGAGCCCGGGGGCGTTGGCATCTGCACCTGGAACAGCAGTCCTCCCTGTAACAGTTAAGAGAAACAATGAAAAGATTTCCACTAAGGACACTTTTCCTTGGAAAATCCCCTGAAATTTGCTAATTCAGCTGAAGATGTATCTTAAAATATCTTAGCCTATGCAACTTTTAATTGAGCCAAAATATTAGTAAAGATTGACATGGTTGCTCTGACAAATTATTTTGCCCAAATAATTTAGTATTAAACAGAAACAAAATTTCCGTGGCCAAGAGAGTCGATGGTGTTTTTTACACGGGCGCGGAAGGTTATCAGAATGTTGGATGTCTACACGGGCGATAGGGGTGTGCGAATATTCGAAAGTTGGAATAGTTGAACAAATACTTTAGTATTCGAGCCCGACTCGATCTTAATGAGTATTTTATAACTTTCAAATAGTAAACAAACCTAGAAATAATCTCTAATTTCATCATGGTATTGTGTTGTTTTATTTCATCCCAACATTTCATGCTTTGTATTATTAAATCACAACGGCAATTTCAGCATATTATGACATCTTCCTTAACTCTAAAGTCTACACAACCATTTTCAAGGACGAGAATTTTGTTGTGTCATTCATTATTAAAATTACTCCGCTCAGCTGCCTAGTTTACAATGCTCCAATACTCACACCAAAAAAACATCCTAACACTCTACTGCCGGCGCTTCCCCAACGGTACAATTTGACTGTTCATCACAGGCCTGTGTTACGTCCACGAGAACCTTTTATTTTTTTTTCTGAATGTACATGTGTGTTTATGTCCGTGTCGGTGTTTGTGTAAATATGACAACGTCCAAGCGACTGCCTATGACAAGATACTTCTCGACTTGCTAACTACGTGACCATGACGCAACTAGCGTCGAAACCATGGTTATTAGGGATGGACGGGTCCCGAAATTTCGGGAATTTTTCGGGAAAAAAATATTCCCGATTATCGGGACGGGATTACATTTTAATCGGGAATTTTTCGGGACGGGAATTTTTTTTGGTCCGATCGTCGGCGATTTTGCCGCTTAGCGAGTGCCGATGACGCCGCTATTGCGAGCGCAGGAGACGAAGTCATTTCGACGATCGCGCCGTGACCGTGGAGTCCTACCGACGATCATGCCGTGACCGCGAGTCATACCAGCGATCACCCCGGGACAGCGGAGTCATACCGACGATCGCGCCATGACCGCGAGTCATACCGACAATCGAGCCGTGACCGCGGAATCCTACCGACGATCGCGCCGTGACCGCGGAGTCTTACCGACGATCGCGCCATGACCGCGAGTCATACCGACAATCGAGCCGTGACCGCGGAATCCTACCGACGATCGCGCCGTGACCGCGGAATCCTACCGACGATCGCGCCGTGACCGCGGAGTCTTACCGACGATCGCGCCATGACCGCGAGTCATACCGACAATCGAGCCGTGACCGCGGAATCCTACCGACGATCGCGCCGTGACCGCGGAATCCTACCGACGATCGCGCCGTGACCGCGGAGTCTTACCGACGATCGCGCCATGACCGCGAGTCATACCGACAATCGAGCCGTGACCGCGGAATCCTACCGACGATCGCGCCGTGACCGTGGAGTCTTACCGACGATCGCGCCATGACCGCGAGTCATACCGACAATCGAGCCGTGACCGCGGAATCCTACCGACGATCGCGCCGTGACCGCGGAGTCTTACCGACGATCGCGCCATGACCGCGAGTCATACCGACGATCGCGCCGTGACCGCGGAATCCTACCGACGATCGCGCCGTGACCGCGGAGTCTTACCGACGATCGCGCTATGACCGCGAGTCATACCGACGATCGCGCCGTGACCGCGGAGTCCTATCGACGATCGCGCCGTGACCGTGGAGTCCTACCAACGATCATGCTGTGACCGCGAGTCATACCGGCGATCACCCCGTGACCGCGGAGTAATACCGACGATCACGACGTGACCGTGGAGTCCTAGCGACGATCGCGCCGTGACCGTGGAGTCCTACCGACGATCATGCCGTGACCGCGAGTCATACCGGCGATCACCCCGTGACTGTGGAGTCCTATCGACGATCGCGTCGTGACCGTGGAGTCCTACCGACGATCATGCCGTGACCGCGAGTCATACCGGCGATCACCCCGTGACCGCGGAGTCATGCCGACGATCATGCGGTGACCGCGAGGCATACCGGCGATAGCTCCTTGACCGCGGAGTCATACCGGCGATCACGACGTAACCGTGGAGTCCCACCGACGATTGCACCGTGACCATGAGTCATACTGACGATTATGCCGTGACCGTGAGTCATACCGACGATCATCCCGTGACCGCGAGTCATACCGACGATCACCCCGTGACCGCGGTCATTTTGACGATCGCACCGTGACCGTGACCGCGAGTCAAAAGTTTCTATAGGTACCTGTATATTATTACCCATTTTTTTGGTTTTTATAGATTTTTATACTGGTAAATATACGGTAAAAATTGATTTTGTATGTCTTTTTTTGGTAACTGCGGTATGACTCAAGACTTTCTTTTTATGCACAGAAAAAATCCCGTCCCGTCCCGTCCCGAAAATCGGGAAGGAAATAAAAATCCCGTCCCGTCCCGTCCCGAACTAAAAATTCAATCCCGTCCATCCCTAATGGTTATAGATATTACAACTTTTATTGAACTGGGATGAAAGTAAAGGTAAATAAACCACTATTATTTTATACTAGTGCACCTGTTGCTCGGATTCGAGCAGTTGCAAAATATTACAGGCGTTATTTCAAAACGAATATCAGTCAAAATTATTTCCGATGACTTAAAATAGTCAACTCAAAGATAATATAATCAATCACTCCACTCCAGTTATCAACTGAAAACGAATGCTCTTGTGTGTTTACTATGAACAGCTGTAATTAATACAAATCATTTGTCTGTTTAAGTAAATATAATCTTTTCTTAATAAGAAATACATTGGGATTTTGATGGCCTGTGGGGCAAAGCAAGAGGACCTTTATTGCAGGAATTGATGAAATTCCATCATCATTTGTAAAAATCCATCCATTATTAACGGAGGAGTAGTGTTTCGTAGAAATCGCCTTCACGTATTATATATAAGGATTTATTGTTTTAGTTTTATCAACCTCAAAAGTTAAAATCCCTAACTTAATCCTTGAGCGCTCACCCGACCACGTGTTTGCACGACCCGTTTCAACAGGTTCAACTCAGCCCGCTACGGTTTAACACCAGATTAAATCTTGATAATTATTTCCTTAATCAAATCTAGCCACCCTTGTACATAAACACAACCCAATTCATAGTAATAAATTCTGCTGTATTACAATATGTAGGCCTTAGCATATGCTACCTCAGACTTAAGCAGGCTCTATAACCCGATAAGGGCCCTACCGTGAATTTTATTAATAAATTGAAGTGAGGGTTAATCGCTAAGAAAGCTCTGAATAATAGTAAAAACACTAATAAAACGGTGAATTACCTGTAAACAACAGGATATTCCGCTTCCCAATTTACATTCACAGGGTGGCTAGTTTTTTTTCCATTTTAAAATTCTAGACCAATAACAGATTTTTTAAGACTAGTTTTTTCAACAATTAGTGATGTGTCGATACCAAAATGTATTGACTCTTGTTTCTTGATCACAATTTTTATAGTTTTACCATTTTTTTTTTTTTTTTAATTTGGTTTTACTACACCAACCCCTGTCTTTATGTCAAAACAATGCAGCAATGAAATGTTCTAACTGGCCAATTTGGGTTTAAACTAGTGATGGTCGGATCCGGATATCGGACTACCGGATCCGCCAGATCTGAGCTAGAACCGACGCCCGATCGGATCCACAAAAAATCGGATCTTGGCCTGGATCCGGTTTTAATGTATCCGATTTTTTTATACTATTAATACAAAACGGGCGAGTATTCGAGATTTCGAGTTCGAGTAGGGTACGGCCTTGAAACTCGGGCTTATCTTTGAACTCGCCAGTTTGGTTTGAAATTGTAAAAAATCAACATTTGTTGAAATGTAACTTGTGTCTACAGATTCTACAGTAATACAAATATTGATAGTTAATTCTGGAAAATGAAAAATAGTGAACGCATTCATAAACCTGTTGTCAAAACAGCAACGCGGGTGTAAGGGTTTATTGTTTCAGAGGCTAGGGTGTTTCAAGGACAAAGTGTTGGGCCTCCCAGCTTAGGGGGGGAGGGGTGGTGGTGAGACTGCAAGAGGGGGAGGAAACTGGTTTTGGCTATTTATTGATTAGTTCACCGACCCTTATTTCTAGACAACAAAATTGAGTGACAGTGTTAAATCATCGTGTTCTGTATTTCATTTCTTGTACATTAATTTTAGTGTTTTGGTCTATTTACTCCTGGTCCCTTGCAAATTGTATTATCAATGCTAAATAATTGTGGTCAATTCAAATTATATTTTTGATTATTCAAATCTCCTACACAAAAAGACAAAAGTCAAACCAGGCAAGGAAAAAACCTGCTATTGTAATCCCCGTACCCAGCCATTTGGGAGTGATGAAAGTCTAGTCTAAATATAGCTCAAAGGTCTCACCCTTCCCTCCCCCCCCCCCAACAACCTACTCAATGTTGCTATTCCGCTCATTTCGAGGCCATTGCACAACCCCTCCCTCCCTTCTATTTTTTTGCCTAATAGTGTTTCTATTCTGACTTTTGTAAAAATAAATTTATTGCTTACGTAACAGTTCAGTAGTGGAATTTTCTATTGTGAAACAGTAGGCCTACTTTAAAACAAAATCACTACCGATCATGTCATTCTATTCTGTGTCAAGTCAGTAGGCCTATACCATTGCCAGTCAGTCGCCGGCGACTGCTTTGAGTTGACCTATTCTGTCGTGACAGCTATAAAAATAGGTTAGGACAACTACCTCTTGCTTATCCAAGCGGAGGTCACTGCCATCTTGATTTGTGTTCAAGAACATCTTAACAGAGAGATCAGAGACAAAACAATCAATATCTACACTGATAGTCAAG